GTAGTTAATGTAGCATGATGTAGTGTCCCAAATGCTATTTAATTAGCCCTGCAGCTAGTAGTTTTAGTATTAATTGTACTAATATAAGTTGTAGTATTAAAGTTCGATAGCCGTACCTGAATTGATAGGATATACCAGACTGAATGATGGTAGTGGCATTGAAGAAACTAATAAAAAATTAAATCACCAAAGCTGCAGATTATTGCTCAGTAGCAGTAAACTTGATCGGGCAAACAAAAGAGCAGCTTGTGATACAGTGAACTCAGATGAAGGACATTCAAAATTTAGAAGAACTGTGCAGAAGCTCCAGCAATGTTTTGTTTTGTTTTGTTTTTTTGAATGTGATAAAATAGAACCAGCTTCTGAACTAAGACAAACATCAACAATACAGTTAAATGATCGGCTGAATGAATGTGCCAAAAATCTTAATGGCAAACTTTTTTCGATAGTTCTTGAGCACATACAGCACTATGAATGGTTCTATTTTAATGGCTCTATTTCTGAAATTAACCTATGTCAATATGTTGCATTTTATTTTAATTTTGCTTGTGTTTTTATTTCTACTTCCCAAATGGTTATTGGGATACTTTTGGTTTCAAATTGCGAGAAAATGTTTTGAATTTTGTGCAAAATTAAATATATTTTGGTGTAAAATTTGTTGAATACCTTACTGTATATGTATATATTTGCAAATTTGTGATTTATTCCATTCATTTTGATTAAGAACACGATGACTTATTGTCTTTTAGCTCATACTGATGTGAAATCAGTTGTTTGGTCGGCCATCTTGAAAAATGGCTGCCATGTTGAATATTTCAGGTGGCTAACGGGTTTTTCTGAAAGAGTATGATGTTAGCTAAATATATGAGAAATTTGGTGCTTGTACCGCTAACTGAACAATTCTTGTGGTTTGGAGACCTAATCTGCTCCACCAATGACGAGTCACATTCAGAGGTCAACAACGTCGCCCGGATTGGCGCTACCGGGGCCCCACCCTGGAGCCAGGCCTGGGGTGGGTGCTCACCAGTGAGAGCCTGGTGGCCGGGCCTTCCCACACGGGGCCCGGCTGCTCTCAGCCCGAAGGAGCGACATGGGGCCATCCTCACGTGGGCCCACCACCTGTGAGAGGATCTATATGGGGCCGGTGCAAAAAGATCTGGGCAGCAGTCGACGACGGGGGCCTTCGCGACCGGATCTCCGGACATGGAGACTAGCTCTGGGGACATGGAATGTCACCTCGCTGGGCAGGAAAGACCCAGCTTGTGTGGGAGGTTGAGCGTTACCGACTAGATATAGTCGGCCTCACCTCCACGCACAGTTTGGGCTCTGGAACAAAACTCCTTGAGAGGGGCTGGACTATCCATTTCTCTGCCGTTGGCCGCAGGGAGCAGCGGCGGGCTGGTGTGAGCCTGCTCATTGCCCCACAGCTCAGCCGCTGTGTGTTGGAGTTCACCCCGGTGAACGAGAGGGTCGCGTCCCTGCGCTTTCGGGTCGGGGACAGGTCTCTCACTGTGGTGTCGGCCTACGGGCCGAACAGCAGTGCAGAGTACCTGGCCTTCTTGAAGTCCCTGGGAGGGGCACTAGACAGTGCACCGGCCGAGGACTCCGTTGTTCTACTGGGGGACTTCAACGCCCATGTGGTCAACGACAATGACACTTGGAGAGGGGTGATTGGGTGGAACGGCTTCCCTGATCTGAACCCAAGCGGTGTTCTGTTACTGGACTTCTGTGCTAGTCATAGTTTGTCCAGCACGTGGCACCAGGACACCCTAGGCCGGAGGTCGATGATCGAATTTGTAGTCGTGTCATCTGACCTCCGGCCGCGTGTCTTGGACACTCGGGTAAAGAGAGGGGCTGAACTGTCCACTGATCACCACCTGGTTGTGAGTTGGGTCCGCTGGCGGACCCGACTTTCAACGCGCACCTCCGGGACGACTTCTCCCAGATTCCGGGGGAGGCTGGAGATATGGAGTCCGAGTGAGCTTCATTCTCGGCCTCTATTGTCAATGCGGCTGCTCGCAGCTGTGGGCGTAAGGTCTGTGGTGCCTGTCGCGGCAGCAATCCCCAAACCCAGTGGTGGACACCGGAAGAAAGGGATGCCGTCAAGCTGATGGAGTCCTATCAGGCCTTGTTGGCTCGTGGGACTCCTGAGGCAGCTGATAGATACCGGCGGACCAAGTGCGCTGCAGCCCGTGCGGTCACAGGGATAAAAACTCAGAGCTGGTAGGAGTTCAGGGAGGCCATGGAGGAGGACTATCGGACGGCCCCAAGGAAATTCTGGCAAACTGTCCGGGGCCTCAGGAGGGGGAAGAAGTTCTTCACCAACACTGCAACACTGTTACAGTGCGGGGGGAGAGCTGTTGACCTCGACTGGGGACGTTGTCCGGCGGTGGAAGGAATACTTTGAGGATCTCCTCAATCCCACCGTCACGTCTTCCAAGGAGGAAGTCGAGACTGGGGACTCGGAGGCAGACTCATCCATCACCCTGGCTGAAGTCACTGAGGTGGTTGGCAAGGCTCCGGGGGTGGATGAGATCCGTCCCGAGTACCTTAAGTCTCTGGATGTTGTGGGGCTGTCTTGGCCTCTTCAACATTGCGTGGCGGTCGGGGACAGTACCTCTGGACTGGCAAAGCGGGGTGGTGGTCCCTCTGTATTAGAAGGGGGACTGGAGGGTGTGTTCCAACTATAGGGGAATCACACTCCTCAGCCTTCCCGGTATGGTTCCCCATATGACCGGAGCAGGAGCTGTGTTCGCATTACCGGCAGTAAGTCAGACCTGTTCCCAGTGCATGTTGGACTCCGCCAGGGCTACTCTTTGTCACCAGTTCTGTTCATTGTGTTTATGGACAGAATTTCTAGGTGCAGTCAGGGGCCGGAGGGGGTCTGGCTTGGGGACCACAGGATCTCATCTCTGGGGTGGTTTGCAGCTGAGTGTGAAGTGGCTGGGATGAGAATCAGCTCTTCCAAGTCCAAGGCCATAGTTCTCGATCGGAAAAAAGTGGCTTGCCCTCTTCGGGTGGGTGGAGAGTCCCTGCCTCCAGTGGAGAAGTTCAAGTATCTCGGGGTCTTGTTCACGAGTGAGGGGAGGATGGAGCGTGAGATTGACAGGCGGATCGGTGCAGCGTCGTCAGTAATGCGGTCGCTGTATCAGACCGTTGCGGTGAAGAGGGAGCTGAGTCGAAAGGCAAAGCTCTCGATTTACCGGTCAATCTTCGTTCCTACTCTCACCTATGGTCATAAGCTGTGGGTAATGACCGAAAGGACAAGATCGCGGATAGGGTGAGGAGCTCACTCACACGGGAGGAGCTCGGAGAAGAGCCGCTGCTCCTCCATGTCGAGAGGAGCCAGTTGAGGTGGCTCGAGCATCTGTTCTGTATGCCTCCTGGGCGCCTCCCTCGGGAGGTGTTCCAGGCATGTCCCACCGGGAGGAGGCCCCCGGGGAGGACCCACCCCGTGTATGGGGTGAAGGAAGTCAGGGAGTCCCTGCCTTCATTGTCATCTGAAAGTTTTTTTGTAGTAGCGTTCACACACGGGCAGTCGAGGTTACATGAACTGCCAGTCGAGTCCGAACATGAACATGTGAAAACACCAGTACTACTACTTTGACTTGCCATGATATATATTTAAGATATAGATATAGAAATAGATCTATAGAGAGAGTAAATACTTTAAACTATTTTAAACTGTGATATTAAATTAACGTGCCAAAGATATGTAAATACTTTTGCTCGATCCTCGTTCCACTCTGTCATGGGTTACCCTCATAAACTTGGTTGAGGAACTTCAAAGACAATCTTCGTGACTTCAAAGCTTTGAGAAAACCTAACTTGATGACATCATAAAGGTACAATCATGTGACATTCCAGGAGCTAAAATTCTGATGACATCACACAATTCCGTCTTACTGTAGATTTAAGTAGGCTGTGTTCACATGACATCACAACATTCTAGAATTCCTATAGTTTAATATTGAGCTGGAGAAAGGGTCAGAATTCTATGGTAGAATTTGTTGTTTAAATGTTACAGAGATATTAACCATGCAGTCTAAGTACTAGGCCTATCCACACAAAACAAAATCTGGCACAATGTCTTCTCCACCAGAATAAATAAACAAAAATAAAAGAAACTTCTTTCATCTGATAGCCTTAAATTGTTTGTATCATACTATGAGACACAAAAGTGGTAGTAGTGGCAAGCATAGCCAAAATTAGATTTAGACAATTATAATTTTGGACAAAATTCTATGTTTCGATGTAATAAGTTATTACATTATTGGCGTCAGGTTATTACGTTATTGGTTCAGACTTTTTATTACATTCTTGGCAAGTTATTACAGTATTGGCTTTATTACATTAAAATTATTATGTTATAAGCAGTTATTACGTCATTGGATTTATTACATTAAAATTATTACGTTTTAGGCAGTTATTACGTTATTACATTATCAGCTGCTACACGCCTCAAGTCACAGTGACGTGGTCCAATAAGGATGACAACTAGAGCTCCTACATCAGCGTATCAACGTTTTCAGGTGTCCACACAGAGCACACAGGCAACCACACAGATCAGATCTGTACTCAGATGAATTCTTGGGAGCTGGCGGCACCAGATCATAAGCGGAAGAAAATGGATGGATGGATGTGTACCATTACACATTACACATTACATTTGTTTTTCAGGTTTTTATTTTATTTTGAAAATTTTAATATGTGATGGACCGAGCATCAGTAGCATTAACATATCATACAAACATGACATAACAAAAGACAAAAGAAAAAGACCTGGACAACTCAAACTCAAGTTTGAAATCCATTGTCCTACAGTACTGCACTGATACAATCTATCAACACTGTACTGAATGGGGATGGCCTTTAAATCATTCATGATGTAGAGGTGATTAAATTAGGGTAGTGAAAGCTTGCATTAGTTAGTAAAGGTAATGGCTAATCCTTCCCTTTTGTTAGCTTCTCCATGTCAGGCCATACATTCACGTCTCCCAAGTCCATGGCCCAGTTAAGATGAAGTAATTTAGGTTAAAGAGCAGCTTGAAGGTGGAAAGGTAACCATAAAGGCCTGCTTTAGTCCTGGTGTTTTACAGAATTAGTAAATCGAAAGGTCATTTCTGAGACCTATCAAGTCACTAAGAGCATTGTAACCATTAGAGTTACATGTTCCTGCTGCTAGAGTGCCTGCAAAGAATCCGGCGGTGGAAGACAAAGTCATAGCACAAACATACATTAATTTCTTGACGCTACAGAATGTGCCTGATGATGAAGAGACAGGATGTTCTTGTTGGCTTGGAGGCTCCCAATTGTCAGTCTGCACCAGTTTGCTGTTATTTTCCGTGTTAGAAAAAGCAGCTGCCGATGAAAGCATCTCAATATTCTGCTCTAGCTCTGCTAATTTAGCTTGCTGTAGATTAATGAGTGCCTCTTTTTCCCTGACAATACTTTGCATCTTTGCTGCTTCCTGCTGGACTGCCTTCAATTTAGAAGTTAGGTCATCATGATCCTTTCTGCTCTGCTCTAACAGAGACTTTTCTTTCTCCTGAAGTTCAGTGTTCCTAGCCTTAAGACTAAGCACTTCTTCATTCAGGACCTGGTTCATTGCCTGCAGCTCGTTGTTTTCTGCTTCTCGACTTTCCAGTGTTCCTCCCATTAGTTCTAGCTTTGCTCTCAACGTGGTAATCTCAGTTTCCACTTGGGCATTCACTGATTTTAGCTCAGATATAAAAGCCTCTTGTTGGGCAGCACGCTCAAGGGAAACTCGTTTGTCCTCTTCTAATTGGTCATTAATTTCATGCATTTGCTGAACTTCAGTTTGTTTTGACTGAAGCTCAGTTACCACTTGATTGGTGGTCCAATTACGCTTTTCAATTTGTGCCTCCAATTCAAGAATGGTCTTTTTCTGTTCGAAAGACTCCACTGAGCTCAGGTCTAGTTGATGCTGAAGTTCCTCGATTGTCTTTGAGCTGTCCTCCTGTTGTCCAGAAAGCTTCTCAATATTCTGCTCCAGGTGTGCTACTTTAGCTTGCTGTTGGTCAATGAGTGCCTCTTTTTCAGAAATAGAAACCAACAGAAACTTTTCTTTGTCCTGAAGTTCAGTGTTCACATCTTCAAGACTAAGCACTTTTTGTTTCAGATCATGGATTCTCGACTGCAGCTCTATGTTTTGTTCTTCTCGAGTTTCTAAGTTTGCCTCCATTCGTTGCTCATTCTTTGCTGCTTCCTGCTGGACTGCCTTCAGTTTAGAAGTTAGGTCATCATGATCCTTTCTGCTCTGCTCTAACAGAGACTTTTCTTTCTCCTGAAGTTCAGTGTTCCTAGCCTTAAGACTAAGCACTTCTTCATTCAGGACCTGGTTCATTGCCTGCAGCTCGTTGTTTTCTGCTTCTCGACTTTCCAGTGTTCCCTCCATTAGTTCTAGCTTTGCTCTCAACGTGGTAATCTCAGTTTCCACTTGGGCATTCACTGATTTTAGCTCAGATATAAAAGCCTCTTGTTGGGCAGCACGCTCAAGGGAAACTCGTTTGTTCTCTTCTAATTGCTCATTAATTTCATGCATTTGCTGAACTTCAGTTTGTTTTGACTGAAGCTCAGTTACCACTTGGTTGTTGGTCCAATTATGCTCTTCAATTTGTGCCTCCAATTCAAGAATGGTCTCATTCTGCTTGAAAGACTCCACTGAGCTCAGGTGTAGTTGACGCTGAAGTTCCTCGATTGTCTTTGAGCTGTCCTCCTGTTGTCCAGAAAGCTTCTCAATATTCTGCTCCAGGTGTGCTACTTTAGCTTGTTGTTGGTCAATGAGTGCCTCTTTTTCAGAAATAGAAACCAACAGAAACTTTTCTTTGTCCTGAAGTTCAGTGTTCACATCTTCAAGACTAAGCACTTTTTGTTTCAGATCATGGATTCTCGACTGCAGCTCTTTGTTTTGTTCTTCTCGATTTTCTAAGTTTGCCTCCATTCGTTGCTCATTCTTTGCTGCTTCCTGCTGGACTGCCTTCAGTTTAGAAGTTAGGTCATCATGATCCTTTCTGCTCTGCTCTAACAGAGACTTTTCTTTCTCCTGAAGTTCAGTGTTCCTAGCCTTAAGACTAAGCACTTCTTCATTCAGGACATGGTTTCTTGCCTGCAGCTCGTTGTTTTGTGCTTCTTGTGTTTCTAAAGTTGCCTCCATTCGTTGTAGCTTTACTCGAGATGATACAACTTCTGCTTTCAAGTTAGCTAGTTCTGACTGCAGTTTCTCTATGGTCGTTGACAGCTGTATCTCTTTTTGGTCCATCTCTACATGTTTCTTTGCTAGGAGCTGTTTAAAATAATCAACGTTTTGGTACAGTAGTGCATTCTGTTCACTCAGAGAGGTTTGCCTTGAATCAGAATCAAAGAGACTATTCCTCAAATTTTCAACTTTCATGGTTAATTCTCTGCGTTCAGTCTCGGAATCTCTGAGTAAACTCTTCAGATAGAAATTCTCATTCTTAAATGTCTCGTTTTCAGAGGCAAAAACCACATTCTGTTCTTCCACTTGAGCATTCACTGATTTTAGCTCAGATATAAAAGCCTCTTGTTGGGCAGCACGCTCAAAGGAAACTCGTTTGTCCTCTTCTAATTGCTCATTAATTTCATGCATTTGCTGAACTTCAGTTTGTTTTGACAGAAGCTCAGTTACCAGTTGGTTGTTGGTCCAATTACGCTTTTCAATTTGTGCCTCCAATTCAAAAATGGTCTCTTTCTGTTCAAAAGACTCCACTAAGCTCAGGTGTAGTTGACGCTGAAGTTCCTCGATTGTCTTTGAGCTGTCCTCCTGTTGTCCAGAAAGCTTCTCAATATTCTGCTCCAGGTGTGCTAGTTTAGCTTGCTGTTGGTCAATGAGTGCCTCTTTTTCAGAAATAGAAACCAACAGAAACTTTTCTTTGTCCTGAAGTTCAGTGTTCACATCTTCAAGACTAAGCACTTTTTGTTTCAGATCATGGATTCTCGACTGCAGCTCTTTGTTTTGTTCTTCTCGACTTTCTAAGTTTGCCTCCATTAGTTTTAGCTTTGTTGTTAACTCAGTAATCTCAGTTTCCATTTTTCCGACTTCTCTTTTGAGGTTTTTGTTTAAATCAGACAACTCTATCTCTTTCCGGTCAATCTCTGCCTGTTTGATTGCTAGGGCCTGGTTAAAATGATCCAGGCTTTGGCGCAGGAACACATTCTGTTCGTTCGTAGAGGCTAGGGCAGCACTCTCAAGCACTCTCAGTCGTCTGTTTTCCTCTAATTGCTCAATAAATTGATTCATTTGGTCATCAGCTTGTATTGATTGTTGCTGTAAATTGTCAGCAGATTCTGATGTCGTTGGCTCTGGTTCTCTCTACAGTCGTGTTCCTCTTCCTGCATCACCTCGGCCTTAGTGACTTGACTGCTCTCGGCTGGTTTTCTCTGAATGTCAGTGCGGTTTTGCCTGCAACGCTGTGCTAGTGATGCATTTTGAAATTTCAGCACATTAATCTGAGAAATGTAACTTTGACTGAGAGAAAAGCTAATATTTTTTAAACCTTTCAACATCACTCATATGACCTAACACTACCGTCAACAGTTCATTTTTCAAAGAGGCATTCTCCAATGTCAAGCGTTCATTGTCATCTGAAAGCTTTTTTGTAGTAGCGTTCACACACGGGCAGTCGAGGTTACATGAACTGCCAGTCGAGTCCGAACATGAACATGTGAAAACACCAGTACTACTACTTTGACTTGCCATGATATATATTTAAGATATAGATATAGATATAGAAATAGATCTATAGAGAGAGTAAATACTTTAAAGTATTTTAAACTGTGATATTAAATTAACGTGCCAAAGATATGTAAATACTTTTGCTCGATCCTCGTTCCACTCTGTCATGGGTTACCCTCATAAACTTGGTTGAGGAACTTCAAAGACAATCTTCGTGACTTCAAAGCTTTGAGAAAACCTAACTTGATGACATCATAAAGGTACAATCATGTGACATTCCAGGAGCTAAAATTCTGATGACATCACACAATTCCGTCTTACTGTAGATTTAAGTAGGCTGTGTTCACATGACATCACAACATTCTAGAATTCCTATAGTTTAATATTGAGCTGGAGAAAGGGTCAGAATTCTATGGTAGAATTTGTTGTTTAAATGTTACAGAGATATTAACCATGCAGTCTAAGTACTAGGCCTATCCACACAAAACAAAATCTGGCACAATGTCTTCTCCACCAGAATAAATAAACAAAAATAAAAGAAACTTCTTTCATCTGATAGCCTTAAATTGTTTGTATCATACTATGAGACACAAAAGTGGTAGTAGTGGCAAGCATAGCCAAAATTAGATTTAGACAATTATAATTTTGGACAAAATTCTATGTTTCGATGTAATAAGTTATTACATTATTGGCGTCAGGTTATTACGTTATTGGTTCAGACTTTTTATTACATTCTTGGCAAGTTATTACAGTATTGGCTTTATTACATTAAAATTATTATGTTATAAGCAGTTATTACGTCATTGGATTTATTACATTAAAATTATTACGTTTTAGGCAGTTATTACGTTATTACATTATCAGCTGCTACACGCCTCAAGTCACAGTGACGTGGTCCAATAAGGATGACAACTAGAGCTCCTACATCAGCGTATCAACGTTTTCAGGTGTCCACACAGAGCACACAGGCAACCACACAGATCAGATCTGTACTCAGATGAATTCTTGGGAGCTGGCTGCACCAGATCATTTCGTCTCTGGAGCCATTTTCCATTAGATTAATGTGGACGAACACTGAGGAATTGATTGAAGTTGTTGTTGTTGTTGAAGCTGTTCTTTATTTATGGAAAATTGTCACAGAGGAGGATAGAGATATACTGCGCAAGAAGGATCATTGGCAAAAAGCAGTAAAAATGTAAGACTATAAGATCCTTTACCAGTCAGCTGTTGTCTGATGTTGCCATCATGGCGTTGGTACAGAAAGCCTTTACCAGCAAAGAAATGTACGGAGAATAATTTGTGCCAAATGCTGTGGGCCTGTTGTTGTGAGAAATAGAGAAAATGAAATAGAGGCCTTGAGTCAAACAACTGTCTTTGCGTGATTTATTCTCTTGTAAGAGAAGTAAAGAAGAGAGTAGATCAGATAGAAGAGAGTGAGTGAGAGAGAGAGAGAGCATGGGACAGTCCCACACTGAGTTTTCTACAGATGGTCCAAAGGTCTGTACACAGGTCATCATGACAGAAATAATGAGGGGAGGACTGGACAGTGAGGTGAGTGCCAGTTTCAATGGAAAAGCACTTACTGAAACTGACCAGATAATTCTAACAATAAATATGTTTAAGGATATGTTAAAATGTATTTTGCTATTACATTGTTAAATAAGCACTCATGAAGTGTTTGTGTTTGTGCAGCACACTTTTAATTAAAGTGGACATTTTTAACCTATTTATTGACTCTTAAGCTTTGATAGAACGATTGTTTGTTGTATTCATGTGATGGTTCTTCAAAAAGTAACAAGTTTAGAATAGTTGAGCCCACATCTTGGTGCAGATACAAACATAAATTGTAATGAGACAGAAATATCATAATATGAGTCACAGAATGTAAGGCTACTTTTAGACTGCAGGGCTCAATGCTCCATTCGGATTTTTTTTGTGATTTTTTATTTTTTTTTCTGAGGTCCTTCCCATCTCCAGTTAAATGTGTCTTGTATGTAATCTCTAGTGTGAACTTTAAACGCCCCAAAAGTGTCCCGCATGTGTATCAGAAGCCACAACGACGTGACCTCCTGGTCGTTCAGATTGAAGTCGCATGTCAATATCGAATATGGATTGGTTTTAGGAGCACATATCCAAGTGGCCTGGGTCACACTGGAAAAAATCAGATTTATGTCGTTCAGGCACTTCCGCTCATGTAAATAGGCCCAAAGGCTTTTATGAAGAGCCACATCAAGCCCAGTTCTGCGAAGCCCATCTGATTATTATTATTATTATATTAGCCTATATAGAAAAACAATCATACCACTGAGGGATTTGAGTGTTTGTCTTTGTTATAACCTAATGTGAGCATGGAAGATTTTTTATAATGCAAAGCATTCTACTAGTTATTTTTACACAATTCCTCACAAGCAACAGAGCATAGAATATATATATATATATATATATATATATATATATATATATATATATATATATATATATATATATATATATATATATATATATATGTGTTTCTCACCTTCCACGGTGGTTGGTCTCTCACCCTCATTCAGCTCGGGTCGTCTACCAGAGGCCTGCTGTTTCCAGTACTGCACTTTTCTGGACTGAGATGTTCGTTGTTTTTCCCTGTATCTGTTGTAGCCTCTTCCAGTTTGGAGGTTACAGCCCCGAGTGTCCGATCACCACAGGCACCACTGATGCCTTTACTTTCCAGGCTCTCTCCAGCTCCTCCTTGAGCCCCTGGTATTTCTCTAGTTTCTCGTGTTCCTTTTTCCCAATATTACCATCGCTTGGTATTCTGATGTTCCACCACAACTCTGCTCTTTTTCTTATCCACCACCACTATGTCTGGTTGGTCCATCACCATCCTGTCAGTCTGTATCTGGAAGTCCCACAGGATCTTGGCTCGGTCATTCTCCACAACCTTTGGAGGTGTTTCCCACCTTGATCCTGGGGTTTCCAGCCTGTACTCTGCACAGATGTTTCTGTACACTAGGCCCACCACTTGGTTATGTCGCTCCATGTATGCTTTCCCTGCCAGCATCTTACACCTGCAGTTCTGTGCTGGACTGTCTCAGGAGCCTCTTTGCACAGTCTACACCGTGGGTCTTGTCTGGTGTGGTAGATCTGGGCCTCTATTGCTCGAGTGCCCAGGTCCTGCTCCTGAGCAGCCAGGATCAGTGCCTCTGTGTGTCCTTCAGACCAGCCCTCTCAAGCCATTGGTAGGATTTCTTGATATCAGCCACTTCAGTTCTGTTCCGGTGGTCCGCCCCATGTAGGGGTTTGTCCTGCCATGATGGTCCCTCCAGCACCTCTTCCTCTGGACCCCACTGTCTGAGACATTCTCTGAGCACCTCATCTGCCGGGGCCTTGTCCTTGATGTACTCAAGGAGCTTGGATGTTTCATCCTGGACAGTGGTTCCCACACTCACTTTATATATATATATATATATATATATATATATATATATATATATATATAAACACAGTTATCAAACAGCAGCTAGCTATTGCTCCACTCCTTGGTTCAGTTACACTTTTGTTTTGATTTGTAGCCTGCGGCCCGCTCATATTAAAACAATTGTGTTGCATTACACAAACACTGCCAGCTGCCTTGGTGCAAATTGTGTGAATGCACAGTTTTGTTTGCTTAATGCACTAAAATTGCACTTCTTTCTATTATTTGAACTCAAGTGCACTGTTTAGGACCTGTTTGAAATGGCCAGCGCATTCACACAATATAGACCCTGTGCACATAAAAGCTTTTAGTGGATTTTGAGACTAAAGCATCTGGATTATGGAGTGAGGAGCTTACCTGACACAGTGTGCATGTACCCTGGATGTCTCCATACAGGTGAGAAGCTTTATTTCTGCACTGCATTCGTGCATGGTTCGTGACCTGTCTCAGTCATGCTTGAGCATCATTTGTATAGTTCCAATGCAATATCTGTAAAACTGTTTTCATAACACGTCAGCTCCATGTGCACAGGACACCATGCACCTATTTCTCGTCTCTCACTATTTCCAATTAGTGTTAATTGCACAAGGGCTGAAGTTTTGTGCCGGTAAGACATGCAAATGCAAAAGGGCTGTGCCCTCATTCGTTAATTAGAGCTACAGAACATGTGTTAGTCGAGGCTATGATGGGACCTGACCCACCCGCTTTACTTGTTCTCATTGAGTTATCTGATCTGCTCGCCCCACTGCTGGCCTGTGTAATCCAACCGAGTCTACACCACAGAAATGAATTGCAGATCCTGAATTGTGTCCATGTCTTCAAAAATTCCTTTAGCTCTTGGTCCTTCTCTGAAAACATGTATTCCTTGAATGTGTGTTATGTGTACTACACAAGAGCAGCTACTGTGTGATGGACATGAGCCTCAAGGATCAATATCCAATGTGTTGTTTGTATTTATAGGCCCTCTGCCCGCTGTCTGCAGGCCAAACAAATGACCGAGCTCTGAATGTGTAACCCCTAAAACATCACCAAAACTGATTGGACACTGTAGTTTTCTGTACTCAGGACATTAGGGATGGGAGGAGATCAAATTGTGCAGACATGGAAAAAATGATCTTGTAAGATTGTATCCTTCATTTGTACAATTGACATGGGCATTAAAGAGTCTTAAGCTCTGGAAAGTTGTATCTTTGAGCAGCTGCAGCTAAAGGACTCCACACAGAGAGACATGTAGCTCACATATTCAGACAGAGAGCTCAGTAGTTATTTTGTAATGATAGGACCAATACTGATGCAGATAATTGGTGCTAAAGATGGTTTAAAAGGATTGCAAAAATAATATGATCAAATAAATGTGCATCTAATTCATCCAAAAAGAGGAAATGATGCAACGATTAAACAAACAAAAAGACTTTTTGTTCATTGAGTGGTTACTGATTAAACATTCCACCAGTTTTCAGTGTGTCTGACAAATTATAAAGTATTTTTCATTGTCTCTCTCTAAAAGGTTTATTTTAGCTATATTTATCAGTTAATCAAACCTTGTGATTGTTACAGTTTAGAACAATGATTCTCAATGTACTTCTCTGTGTATTGAATACACTGTGACTGGAAATGTTGTGAGCCTTAAGGATGACCTGGTTGTCTAATAGATGGCTGACAGATGGATCAGCAAAACATAAACACAGTCTTGCCCACGTACTGACCCAGTTACTTGCTGTATCGGGTACAAGTGATTGCCAAGGATGGATGCGCATAACATAGGATGGTGAACTATGTTGTGGCATTTTATTATCATTGAAGTTGTTACCTGACACTTAATAAGTATTATTCTATGTTAAACTGGGGTTAAAACAAAAGTTAGATTACTCTGTGTAAAACACATCCACAAATCTTCACTTCAGGGACAGTTCACACTTGTGCAGTTCAATAGACTGCTAACAACAGAAAGTGTAAACAATTAGACACCAACACTTGACCAGAACTGCAAAAGCCACCTGGAAAGCACAATGTTTTTACTTACTCAGATTTTTATTTATTTATTTATTTTATTTTTTATTTTTTTATTAAATTTTTACCTGGACGACTGAAGGATTACACATACTCAGAGACACCCCATTCTGCCCCTTGTTCTTGCATCAAACAGAAGGTGTTTCTTAAAGCCACAACTTCGGTCTACAGCTGGACCACAGACTGGGCTGAGAATACAGACCTGCTCTACAGAAAGGGACAGAGCAGGCTCTACTTTCTCAGAAGGCTAAAGACCTTAAACATCTGCCACAAGCTCCTGCTCATGTTCTACCAGTCATTTCCAGTCCCTTTTTCAATGCTGTGATGTACTGTAGGCCTCAAGAAGAAGGACACCTTGCAGTTGGATAAGAAGGTGAGGAAAGTAGGATCTGCAGTGGGTGAGGAGTTTGACTCATTCACATCTGTGGCTGAGAAGAAGGGCCCTAAACAAGCTCCTGTCCATCCTGGATAACCCACAGCACCACCTACACAGCAACATCACTGCACAAGAGAGCACCTCGGGGGACGGGCTACTGTCCCTGTCCTTCTCCTTGGTCAGACTCTGGAAGTCGTTTGTCCCACGTGCCGTACATCTGTACATACAACTGTACATACATGTGTACATACATCTGTGCAGCTCATCCCTATAAATGCTGAATGTAACAGGGTGGCAGCTTTATTATTATTATTATTATTATTATTATTATGTTTCATTGTTGCTACTGCCAAAAATTTTAATTCCTTCAGGATCAATAAATTATCTGTCTAATAACAGTACAAGTGGTGCACCCATGTGTTGGCAAGTCTAATATCTTGTGCTACCACTGAAAGAAAATGATTTTGTTCTGCTTTCTTTTAACAATAAAGCTATTCAATGACTATTAAACAGTAACTAATTGTAAATCAGTGTTTCATATGAAATCTGAATATTAAAACTGAATAACTATTAACTGAGTTTTTTTCAACCACCACCAGTGACTTTCCACAAGTGTCGATACTCCACTTAAAATGTTTTAATACATCACACATCTAAACTGCTCAAATACATTTTATTTGCTGATGACACAAACATACTTGGTTCAGGAGATGCAGACATTATTACACAGTTAAATCAGAATTTGGCAACATTAATAAATGATTCATGCAAAACAATCATTAAACTTAAACAAAAATATAATTATGATATTTAAACAGTATAACAGACACTACAATTATATGAATAGAAAAAAAACAAAAAAACTAAAACACATAACTAGAATAATCTGATAACACCAGTAATTACATCTGTGTGTGTTTACAACAAAAACTCCTGGTGATGAGCCTGTTAACTGATGGATCATTAAAGTCCTTGAAAGACAAAAGTACAACGAATCCTGTACAATAAGAACTATTTGGTTACACAAATTCTTTGTTGGGCCAACCTCTTAAGAATAGAAAAATCTTTCTTCAACTTTATAGCATACTTGGGTATTGCAAATGCTTTTCTGATACTTTCTCTGGCCATCTCCTTGTCAATTGACCTCCATGTTTGTGGGATATCTGCAGGCTCTGCTTTGTATGCTTCTGCAAACTTGTCATTGAATTTTACCAAGACATACTTCCAGTAGTCTGATGCCTCAAGGCTGGGGTCAGAAGCTATTTTCCAGTCAGGATAGATTTCTCTGTATGTTTTATAAGGGTGCCACTCATAATTTGTGGCAGCACTTTTAAAACGTATGTCACTGTCCACTGCTGATGAGCATATATCAGTGATAAGTTTCTTAGAATCTTCCCATGTGCGACCACCAAGAGCACGAGAGCGATGCAGTGAGGCCCAGTGCTCAGTATGGGCACTTCCACCAGCATCACATGGAGAGTGACAGAAGGGGCATTGTTTACCACAGCCAATCACTCTGTCAAAAAGTACATTCTGAGGCTTCACATGAAGACTTCTCAGTTTTGTTTTGATGTCTGTTTTTAATTTGTTTGGAAGGGACTGTCCCATCTCGTTGACACTTTCTATCAGCCAACGAGCAAATGATTCCTTGTCGGCATTGTTGAGAACCATGAAAGTATCAAGAGCCTCCTTTGAAATGGAAAATTTGTCCTTAAGCTCTTTACAGATGTCTTTAACAAATATCTGAATATTTTCACTTGTTCCTTCCTTTGCCTTGTTCACTGCTTCATTTATGCTGAGGACACAAGACTGAATGTGCTGTTTCTCAAACTCAAATACAGCTGATGAACGTGAATATATCTTATTGAGAATCCATTCTTTCACATAGTTCTCATAGGCTCTAGTGTATTCTAGATAGTCATCAAAGCTCTCCTTTTCAAGCAGATCCTCTAGGATAGTGTATTGAAAAACTACTCGTGTGCTGAACTCATGACATTTCAGCATTTCATCAATGATATCAAGACCCAAAGAGCGTTTGATGAAGTCTTCAACAGCACCTCTCAGACATTGCTCAGTAAATTCTTCTGCTTTTTTTTGACACTGGTCTCGTTCATTAAACAAGTCCTTGAAATCAGCACAGAACTTGTCTTTGTTTTTGTTTAAACAACGGTAAGGATCATTTTCACTAAGAAAATCATTATTCATTTTTTGAAACTGTCTGGCTGCGTTTGCACAGATGTGCTGCTTCAGAGAAATCTCAAAGTCCTTCTCCATTTTCTCTTCATGCAGACTGTCATCTATGTAGTGTAATATCTCTTGGATGTGGGTGTCATGATAATTATTTTTTCGATCAACTTTATCAGTGACAAGCTGTTGACAGTCAGCAATGATTCTTTTTGACAACTTTTGTGCTCTTGTCACATAATCGTCATAATTGACAAATTTACAAAACTGGTGTTTAATTTGTTTGAACTTTCCTTCAACAGTGTATTCATATGGTTCCAGTCCACATTTTTCTAGACTCTTTTTGCTTAATTCTTCATATGTACAGCCTTTGTCCTTCAGGTTCTGTCTGAGATGATATTCCACATTGCTAAATATATCTACAGGCTTCAGTTTACAGAATTTAAGTTCATTTAGTGTTTTCTCCCACATCTGATCAAATTCTCTGTCTAGTTCTTTCTCTGTCATCTTGGCACGTCTCTTTCTGCAGTTTTTAATCAGTTTACAAACCCTGTCTTCTATTTCTTTTGTGTGTTTCTCCTTTACTCTGTCCAACTCTGCCTGTCCATGTATCACGCTTGCAGCAGCCCCAAGCTCAGTTAATACTGTATTTTGTAATACATTTCCAAGACTTTTAATGCAGTTTTCAAACTCCTGTTTGTACTGTTCAACTAGATAAACATGGCCATCTTTTTCTTTGAAGTACTCTGACAGGTTATTTAGAAGTTTGGTTTCCCACATTGTTAGCTCTGTACATGCTAGATTTTTTAAATCAGTGAGGAGTTTTTCAATATCCTCATGTTCCTGAGAGGCATTTTTTATTCTTGTTTCAGCATTTGCACTCCACACATGCATGGCTTTCTTAAACTCCCATTCCCATTTGTTGTATTCGGTGCACAGTCTCATGTAGGCATCAGCCACTAGGCTGTTTCTGAAACTGAAGATGAAGTTTTCATGTTTCACTGCATTCCACAGACTTGTGATCCACTCACGGAACTCCACAATATTATTCGCAGGTGTTGCACGATTCTCTAAAATGTGCATGACATTTTTCTTGAGTTCATAGACAGCTTCACTGTATCCTGCATTGACTGGGGCCATTGGGGGGTTTCCGTTCCACAGTCCAGGGATGTACCAGTTTCCAGTGTCAGGATCGTAGTCCATCACATCAGTAAAACTCTTGTACTTCTCTTTTCTCTCCATTTTGGCTGCAGCCTGAGTCATCTCGTTTAACTGCTGCAGGAGCAGTTTTCTGTCTCTCAGGTTCTTGTCGTGAGCTGAAACATCTGACACGTTCTGGTGAACAAACTGACATTTGGGTTTTTTGCCCACTTCTTTCATTCGCAGAAAAGCATGCACAACTATCTGCAGGATGTCTTTCATTTCTGTAGAATTCTCCATAGCGATGTTGATAATAGTGATGTCACTCAATCCAACCACAAGGGTTGCTAACTCGTTGTCATGCTCATGGCTATCGTCCAGTTGAGCGAGCTCTGGAGACTTGAGGCCCTCAGTGTCAATGATCACTATGAAGTCACACTTGAGACTTGCTTTCAGATCTTCACTGATTCTGATGAGTAACATAAAGGCTCCTCTAGTGCATCGGCCACTGCTCACAGCAAACTGCACTCCAAACATGGTGTTGAGGAGAGTGGACTTCCCTGTGCTCTGAACTCCGAGAACTGTGACCACCAGAATCTTGTTGTTTGGAGACACCAGGTCATGGAGCTGGGCCAGAACATCACTCACCCATCTGAGAGGGATGTTAGAGGCATCTCCATCCACCAGCTCCAGAGGAAAGCCATCAAGCAGCAGCTGTGCACAGAGTCTGGGGAGATGCTGTAACTGTTGGCGTGAAGGGTCATTTTCTGGAAGAGACACTGATGCCTCATAGATTTGGCCCATTTCACGGAAGAAATGTTCAGTTCCCAGTGAACTATTGGAGAGTTGCTTGTCAATTTCTTTAATCTCTTCTTTGTTCTCTGGATCATTGCATTTTCTTTTATATTGCTCTCTGAGGTCTGACAGCTTGTCATGAGACAGGTTATCAAGATTTATCCGTAGCCATTTTAAGAAGAAGGACCTCTCTATGCCAGGGCTGGATATTGCATTAATGAAGCAGAGCATTGCATTACTCATGTCATGTGAATTCTGTTTTGCCCTAAGTTTTTCTTTTTGCACACGGAGGGTACTTTTGTAATGCTCAATGCTTTGAGTTCCAACTTTCCTAAGCCTAAACTCCTCCTTTTCAAGTGATGTTAGATCCTTCCAGGTTTGTCCCTGCAGGGGGAGCTGCTTTGCTTTGAACTTAACTATGTCATTAATGTTGCCAGATAATGCATTTGCATTTTCTTTGGCTCTCTGACATTCATCTTTGTCTTCATCAACATTTATTCCCAAATTAAGTGCAATGCCAGCAATTTGTTCTATTGCCGTTTTAGTTGTGGTCTTCTCAATTACGCTGGTGAGAGACTCACGTAAGTCATCGACAAAGTCTGCATCATTTTTTGTTTTTGTCTTTACAATTATTCGACTCTTATTCAAACTCAACTTTGTGGCTACTATTTTCAGCATTTCTAAATTAAAATGTCTGTTTTTCTGGTCAACCACTAAGTGAATCTTGTCTTTTTGGGGTGTTTTTCTGAGAAGGCTGTAATCTAAATTAAAATTGTCAAAAAATACAAAAACCGCTGAAGACACTTGACACAATAAAGCGTACTGTGTTTCAAAACAGGCAATATCCCCATGAAGATTAACTACTGCCACTGGCTCATCAAAAATGTCAATGTTCTTGTTTCCACAGGGAAGGTACCAAGTAATTTCAGCCAGTCCATTGGAGATAGTTCTTGGGCAGTCACCACACTGCATGTTGTGGTGCACAAAGGTGTCATGATATTGCTGAGAATTGCTCAGGAGCTTATTGAGAATCTCAGATTTGGACAAAGAGCACTCACCAAGTCTCACAAAGGAGATCATTGGAATTTCAGAGTGAACGATGCGTTCTTCTCTGAAGCCCTTGGACTCAGAGAGAGATTTAGGCCTGTACTTTTTCACGATGTCTCTTAAGGCCCACAGCATCAGTGTGCACTGGTTTGTGTCACAGTTTGGAAGCAGCAGAGGAACAGCAAACTGACACATTGACATTTTGAGTGACAGCTCCTGCTGCACAAAACCATCAGAGCACAGAAACAAGGCTGTTATTATGTCAAGAGGGTTCAGCGTGTCCGAGTTTGAACTAGCGAGCAGATCATCAAAGTTTAACTCTGTACTTGATTTAGCACTGTCCGGGTCACTCACTGAGGCATATGCCATTTTTCTCGCTGTTACATTTGCCATCATAAGTCTCTTTAGAAAATACCAGGCCACATCTGTCTTTGAATTGACAGGTTTGTCAGTCATAGCCTTGGTATCAATCTGCAGAATTGTGCTCATGGACAGTTTCTCTTTGTAGTGATGCTTTAGTTTGACATCTTCCAGAAATCTCTCCAGTTTGGAACCTGGGAACACACATCAAAAATGTGATTGTAAGTCAAAAATAAATGTTTATCTTATATCATTATTTCTCCACTTTACCTCCACAATCCACACAAATTTGGCAACATACAGTATTTATATACAAATATTAAATATTTGACTTTCAAAACATCACCAGGTCTAGTATGGATGTATGGAATTATGTTACAATAAAAATGACTCCAAATATGTTTTTATATTTTACTTTCACTCCTTTTCACACCTCAAACGAGTCATCCTTTGCTTTATCAACAGCGGCCTTCTCTCAATGAACTTTGTAATGAAGTCTCCTGAGGTGGTTTTCACTTCACAGATGTGCCTTGTCTGGGTTTATTAGTGGAATGCCAAGAATGTGCAGAACAGTAATCATTATTGTCTTCCCCAAGGTTCTGTTTTGGTCCCCAGCTGTTCATTCTCTACCTCCTCCCCATCGCTCACATTTTCAGACCCTCCTCCTGTATCAACTGTCTTGATGAAGTTAATTCCTGGTTCACCTCAAACTTCCTCAAAATTAACACCAATAAAACTGAACTTCTCCTAGTAGTCACCAAATCCACCCTGAAGAAGATCGATCCTGTCTCCTTTCCCACTGACAGCTCCTCCATCTCTCCCTCCCCTCAGGTAAAGAGTCTGGGTGTTATCCTCGATAACACGCTCTCCTTCACCTCTTGTATCAACCACATCACTCGCTCGGCCCTTCCTTCACTCCAAAGTCTACTGCCGTACTCGCTCACAGCCTTGTCACCTCCCATCTGTATTACTGCAAATTTCCACAAACTCTCCACAAACTTCAGCTGCCCGCATCATCACGCACCCTCTCCACCAACCACATCACACCCGTCCTACAACAGCTCCACTGGCTCTCCATCACACACCTCATTCGATACACAATCCTGCTTCTCACATTCAGGGCTCTCCACAACCTCACACCTCCATGTCTCATGGAGCTCCTCGACATTGCCACACCTGCCATTCCCCCCTCCTCTCTCCAGCTCTCTGTTCCCTTTGCTCCTCCTCTTTCTGCCTCCACTCCTCCTCCTCTTCTCTTCAGCTCTCTGTTCCCCCTGGCTGTTTCAGCACCATGGGGAGCAGAGCCTTCAGTTGCTCTGGTCCTCCACCCTGGAACACACTCCTTCCTCCTTCCTGACCTCCGTAACACTGACTCACTCCCACACTTCAAATCCAAACAGAAAACACACTGATTAAACTGGCCTGTTCACTCCACCTCTCAACCAGACCATAGCTGCACTGTCCTGCTTTCACTGTATGCTTTTAACTCTATGTTATATCATTGTAATAACTTTAAGCTTTTGTGTGTTTATTGTTCCAAGGTGACACTGAGTGTCCAGAAAGGCACCTAATAAATACAATTTATTATAATGTTATTATTAATATTAAAGCAGAAGTAAGTAGTATTTTTACCTCATTAATGTCTTTCAAAGACCCTTTGATTGTTACATATTACACTTTAGGGTACACAGGGCAGAAAAACCAGACATGCAACTTGGCTGCCACCGACCCACCGTCAGCTCTAAGGGCTCTGTGCTTGTTCATGCAAGAGTCAACATAAGATAGCTGCAAGAATAAATGTCTAGTGATAAATATCTGGTGTTTATTTGTGAGGTGTCAGCCATGGCACAACCAGCTAAGAGACAGAGGAAGCCTTTGACTGAGGACACAAGGAAAAGAAAACATGAATGGGACAGAGCCCGAGCTCACACGGAGTCAATGTGAGGAAGGAGTTTGAGGAATAACAGAGCTCAAGGAAAGAGAAGTAGCGACGCAGATCTGCAGATCTTGTTAATGAATATGTAAGTTTCATATGCATTGCTCATATTACTGTTATAATCAACAGAGTATTTTTTAGCATTAGTACGTAGTGATCTTGTTCGTAGATGCTGTTATTCGCACGCTCTCTTTTCCATTGTAGATGAAGCTGAATCATTAGACTGACACATCTTGTATATTTTGTATAAATCCTTTGATTTGAGCGACTCATGTCTCATCTGCTGCAGGATGTGTACAGCTCGTGTTGTCAGTCAACAAAAACAAGTGCAATTTGGAAATTTAGCCTTGAAGTGATATGTGACTATAGCTAACGACACACCAGCATCAAATGGGATCACACATTTGTGTGTGAACAAAGCGTCACGTCAGAGTCACTTCTGTAACTGACAGACTGATGTTTCATCTGGATGTATAGTAACGGTCTATGTTTTAACAGTTGGACGTGTTCTTTGTTGTCAGTATTTCAGTATTGTCAGTCCGGCTGTAAACGGAGCAATGAATAACTTAAGCCCAGATGTAAAATCAGCCCGAACATTTAACAGTAACACATTTGTTATTGGAATTTTGAGGGACATTTTGAAAAAAATATCATTTATTTAAAGAGTTAAATTAGATGACAAAGTGTGTTTATCATCTAGTGAAACTGGACCATTCACTGTTCACAGACCATGTGGAACATTGTTAATATCCACATGTTAGGTTTAAATCTAGATCTTAGTTGATTTTAAAAAGATATCTTCCAGTGTTATAGTAGTTTGCTTATACTGACCCTTTGCACTTGAGGTGACCGTCTCCTCTTTAGTCCCAGTCTCTTCTCCTTCTGCAGCGTAAAGATCAACCCAGTCGTCCTTGAAGAATGAAAATAAAACAAATGAAGTTTGTTCTGTGCAGGGACACAGAGCATTTGTAAATATGTAACGTACCTCCATGGTTGCAAATACAAGATTGGGCCAGGACAGTTCAGCTAATTCAGTCTGAAGTCTTCTTCCTAATGCCAGAGACACTGCTTTAGTCAAATGCAATGACCTACATAATACAATTTGAATCACAATAAAAGTTGTACATTTTAAGTGAAACTAAACAGCAGACTGTGGGGAATGTGCTAATTGTGCACATTTAAAAACTTGATTTTTTTTTGGTAAATAAAATGATTACAGAGGCAGAAAAGCAGATAAGTAAATAAACTAGAAGAAAAGACTGCATAGTGCGAGAGCATGTGCAGAGTAAAGGAGGATGGGGGTTAAAGGAAAACTCTTTTCCTGCTAAACTCAGTATATGGGCCTTTAATGGTGTTGTGGGCTGTTCCTCTTCTATTTTGATGCTGTGAACTGTTTTAAATTAGTGTGTGTTTTCTCTGCAACGTGTTTTATCATCATTCATCACAATGAACTATTTTGTTGCTCATTAATGCGGGTCACTATCCTCACCTTTGCCTCATTATGTTTAAATAGGATTAGGTATTATACATCATTTTGACTTCAGCCTTAAACCCTGCAGTCATGATTGTGATTCTGTTGAGACTTTATCTTTGCTGTGCTTCAAATGACTGAAAAAACAACAATTAAAAAAGTAAAGTAAGATACAAAAAAATATTGCACTTTGAAGTAGGGGAATATAGTAGGCCAGGTCAGCTAAAACTATAAACATGATGAGATTTACACACATTAGTCTCCCAGAACTAAACAAAGACTAAAAAAGAGGACTGATCTTTAATAGATCTGAGTCAGGTCTAAAGCAAGACTAAACCAGGACTCTACCAGACATCATCTGTTAGGCTCATCGTGAGCAGAAAGGAGCTTCAAAAAGTTTAATAACATTACAATTCTATGTTTGAATGTAGTAGAAGAAGAATAGTAGAAGAATAGAAGAAGAGAGAAGAGAAAGAATAAGAAAAGAGAGAAAAGAAGAATAGTAAGTTGGGCTAATGGCGAGCCTTTCGGGTCAGTATTATTCACTAAATTATTTATAGCTTGGTCCCAGATACACTGAAAAATCATATCCAGGTCAATACAGAACCACTCTGGATGAATACTGCAGTATATATTTAGGCTTAAAAATGGTAAATTAAAGGATCCAAAAAAATCTTTCTTATGTTTTTTCATTTATACTACAGCAAAATATAATCTCACATGTTCAGTACATTACTCTGTACCGTATTTTCCGGGCTATTAGACATGCTCTTAAGCCATCAACGCCATCAAAAAATGACTGCGCCCACAATCCAGAGCGCCCTGTACACAAATCCACTCAGGTGTCCCAGCACGACTTCAGTAAACTACAAAGCCGCACCACCCACAGAACACACAAACACACACGGAGCAGACAGCGACCACACAGCGAAACACACCCACAGACGAAAAAGTGAGTGCAATGTGCCGCTTCTAGACACGACTGAACAACTGAGTCACTGCGAACACGCCGACAACCCGTTGGTCCCAGACAGCACCCTCCCTACACGCCACAACTGAACAAAGCCCAGAGTCACCGTGAACGCCACAAACAAACAAAACCACTCACCCATCACACTGTTGTTTTTCATTTAAAGTCCGGTGCAGTTTATTTGTGAAAAAAGTTCTAAAATAGACCATTCTATGACAGTGCGTCTTATAATCCAGAGCGCCTAATAGCCCGGAAAATACTGTACTCACATGTAGGCGAACAAAACCATGAGTTATGTAGTTAACTAGAAGTGAAGTCCAGAGGTGGAAAAAATACAGAATTTGTATTCAAATATAAGAAGAGTTACACTGGGGTCTGGTCAAGCAGTAACAGAGGGAAACAGGGACAGATTTTTGACATTCAAATGTCTCTTATTCAGAAACTAGAGGGACTATTGAAATAAGTAAAGTATCAGAATGTAGGAAAGAGTTACACTCCAACAGGGTCAAGTTAAACCTGTGATATTCTTTCAAGTTGTTGACAAAATTTTTTAAAACTCATGTCAGTAACGGAGGGAATGAAATATGCAGCACTTTTTGGGCAATAAATCCAAACAGTGATAACTCTTGGTTCTCACTTCCATATCCTTAACAAACTGGTTTGAATATTTGCTTCATATAGTTTTCTACCATATGGTACAAGATTAGGTTTAAAAACCTCTAACTTTTTGAGTCATGAGATTTTTTATTAAGAAAGGTCATGGTAACGGAGGGAAAAGTAACGGAGGGAAAATTGTGCAAACAAGTTGAAGGTGCAGGATTTTACATCATTTGTGGCTTTTTTCTTCTGAATACTTTAATATTACTTCAAAATGAAAGGAAACTATTTCTATAAAATATGTCAGTCCTTCCCAGCAAATTTTTATCATTTTAAATACTAATTTTTATTTTTTTTAATCCTGTCCCTTCATCAACAGTTCAAAGATGGAATAACACAAGATATGATGAAATACATCCATTTATTGACATGATTTGCAGGTCTTTGAAATTTGGGAAATAATTTTTGTTCCATGTTTCATACATGGTCTGTTTAAAACATATGGAACTTTAGAACCAAAAATGGTCCAGAAAAAAGGTCAACAGTTTCATAAACTAGAGTACATATGTATCTGTTCAATACATTTTTATATCAGATGCATTAACTTGAATTTTTACACAGGTAATATGCTCAATTACCCCAATTACAAGCACTAGTACTACTGCATAAACTGTACTTAAATAAAAGGAAAACATGCATGAAAAACACTTCTAGTTACACAATTTTAGAAGCATTTTAGGTTATGCTTTTATATATTAGATGAAACATGATCAATCAAAAGGGTGATAAATGCAATCCATGTGTTCTTTGAGCTCTGAACAGTCTGTTCTGTGTGTTTTGTCGGTACAGAGCAAAAACACCAAGGACTAGGACAACTGGGACTGGTGTTATTCTAATTTAACTTATTACAGTTAAATGGCTATTATAGTCAATTGCAAGTACAAGAACAGGTTTAAAAATTTACTCAAAAGAATACAGAAATACACCCAATTACAGGTACCTACATTTTTGTATATGTACTTTCCCCCTGGTTAAGGCCTATGCTGTTTGACTACATACAATACATGCAACATACTAGATGTTTAAACTAAAACAGATGCATGCTCCTGGCTGTTACCTTCATTGTAGAGCGTCTGACGGAGCTGCAGCTGCAGTGGAAACAGAGCAGAGTGTGTGGGCTGGAGTCGGGCTGAGCTTTTTATAGTGCAGCACTTTTACTTTCACTTTCTACAGGTCATGTGGTTTCCCAGAAAGAGCAGGTTTTACAGGACCCACTCTGTTCAGATTAGGTTATTGGTTATACACAGCTCACTGGTCAGAAACGTGAGATGCAAGATTCTATGCTGCTCTTAAAGTGCACAAGACAGCTATTTTTTTTTGTTTTTATTTTGTTTTGTTTTGTAAAGATGGGATAAAAGTACAAAAATACAGGAAGTAGTGCTGAGTTCTAAAACTGAAAACCTCAACTGTTATCATCACAGGAAATTCAATCTAAAATGAGGAAGGCATTTTTTTAAATTCTTATCAGTTTAATCCTTTATTTAAAAGGTGTTTTTCCTTATTTTTATTCATCTGATCAAATCTATTCTGCAATAGACGCATCAAGAATTTCATTGTGCAATGCATACTGGGAAGGATTTTCCGAAAAAGTGAGCAAACCTCCATGTTTGTTTTCCCAGTGGGATGTGTCTATTGACAAAGTCGATCTTTTCTAGTCTTTTGAACCATATCACTTTTGTTTCTGGTTCTGATATTGTCATATTTTAGTTTTGGGATTCGGACATGGTAATTGTGTGGTTGTTGGATCCTAACAGCGGAAACGGCTTGAGAAATTTGTTTGCAAACTCCATAAATGCAAAAGGGAATCAGATGTGTGTGACTGCAAACCTCTGTTCAAACTGTTTCTCTTCCCAACGGAATCAAAAAATAGTGAAAGGAGAAGGCTATGGGCAGGGTTGATCCACAGGAAAGATGAAAAAGGAAACCTTTGTCTGCCTAAATCATCCTGAGTTTACAGTGAATATTTTGGATGTGGAGCCATCAAAGCCGGATCCTGTTAAGTGAGAGGTGCAGAAGACAAACAGACTGAGCTGCACTTTCTTGTTCTTGTGGTTTTACAGCAACATCATGTCTTGGTCGGTTTACAGTGGAAGGTGTTTCTTGGTGAACAGTTGGTGCCTTTCACTTTGGCGTTGGCTTTTTAAATTCCTAACCAAGGTTGAGCGAGGGATCGGGATTTTGCTTTGATGGCGCTCCACATATGAAATGTTGGGATGATTTAGGCAGTCAAAGGTTTCCTTTTACGTCTTTCCCGTGGATCAATCCTGCCCATTGTTTTCACCTTTCACTATTTTTCTATTCCGTTGAGAAGAGAAACAGTTTGAACAGAGGTTTGCAGTCACACACATCTGATTCCCTTTTGCAGTTATGGAGTTCGCAAACAAATTTCTTGAGCCGTTTTCCGCTGTTAGGATCCAACAACCACACAATTACAATGTCTGAATCGCAAAACTAAAATATGACAATATCAGAACCAGAAACAAAAGTGATATGGTTCAAAAGACTAGAAAAGACTGACTTTGTCAATAGACACATCCCACTGGGAAAACAAACATGGTGGTTTGATGCTCACTTTTTCAGAAAATCCTTCCCAGGATGCACTGTGCAATGACCAGAAGTCCGAGATTCTTGATGTGTCTATTGGGCCTTTGTTAGTATTATGGTTACTAGACAACAAAATGATCTCTGCGTATGTCACATCTGCTGCCTGTGTCCAACCAGTAATAAAAATGATAAACTTCACCAAGATTCAAAGGCTCAAAAACACTAAGCAAGATGTATAGTCAAATATTTAAGGTTCTGTATTACACAAACAAATCTTTTGAGCTTTAAGCCATGTTAAAATGGGGCCCGGTCAAGCAGAAGTAAACAACAAGGCCAAAAATTCAAGTTAATGCATCTGATATAAAAATGTATTGAACAGATACATATGTACTCTAGTTTATGAAACTGTTGACCTTTTTTCTGTACCATTTTTGGTTCTAAAGTTCCATATGTTTTAAACAGACCATGTATGAAACATGGAACAAAAATTATTTCCCAAATTTCAAAGACCCAAAAATCATGTAAATAAATGGATGTATTTCATCATATCTTGTGTTATTCCATCTTTGAACTGTTGATGAAGGGACATGATTAAAAAAAAAAAAAAGTATTTAAAATGATAAAAATTTGCTTGGAAGGACTGACATATTTTATAGAAATAGTTTCCTTTCATTTTGAAGTAATATTAAAGTATTCAGAAGAAAAAAGCGACAAATGATGTAAAATCCTGCACCTTCTACTTGTTTGTACAATTTTCCCTCCGTTACTTTTCCCTCTGTTACCATGACCTTTCTTAATAAAAAATCTCATGACTCAAAAAGTAAGAGATTTTTCAACCTAATCTTGTACCATATGGTAGAAAACTATATGAAGCAAATATTCAAACCAGTTTGTTAAGGATATGGAAGTGAGAACCAAGAGTTATCACTGTTTGGATTTATTGACCAAAAAGTGCTGCATATTTCATTCCCTCCGTTACCGACATGAGTTTTTTTCATTTTTTGTCTTGAACTTGAAAGAATATCACAGGTTTAACTTGACCCTGTTGGAGTGTAACTCTTTCCTACATTCTGATACTTTACTTATTTCAATAGTCCCTCTAGTTTCTGAATAAGAGACATTTGAATGTCAAAAATCTGCCCCTGTTTCCCTCCGTTACCACTTGACCGAAACCATTGTTGTTACCTCCTCAAAATCATGAGCTGTGTTTTGTTTCATTCACCCATGTTGAGGTGGAGGTACAGGCTACATTTCTAGAACTGGACACAAATACGACCCCAAATTGTATTTGTGAATTTTTTTGCGTTACAGATGCCATTTTGAGGACTTATTTCTCCTAGTGTGATTACTGCTAATTACCCTGTGTTTACAAAAGTACTGGTATTGAAAACTGATACCAAAAATGTTAAAAAATAAATAAATAAATAAATAAAATATTAAAGCTGGCGAATAACCCTTTATTATTGGCCTGTCTACATCCCGAAGCTCAAAATGCTCCGTTCCACCTTGTGATGTCGTTAAGAGGTCGTTTTAAAGTGAACACCTCCTTTTATCTTTAGTTCAGTAGAGATTGACAATTCCAGGCCTGAAATCATCCAATTTATTCTGGTGTATGGAGTTTAAAAACACAGTGGGGCACTTCCTGTATTACCGCAGGACATCACAAGGTGGCAGTGACGTGCACAGACATTTTGGGGGCAGGTGCTCAGTGAAAAATAAGAGCTCTTTGTGCACACGTGGAAATGTCGGCTGTAATAAAGTTCACTGCAAGTCTTGTGACACAGAAATAACTTTTGGTTGGGACAAAATAAGAGCTGTTATAGCTTAATGCCTGATTGTGCTCTGACAGGAAACAGGAAATGCCTCTGCAACCGACCGACAATGAACTAAAACAGATGCATGCTCCTGTCTGTTACCTTCACTGTAGAGCATCTGACGGAGCTGCAGCTGCAGAGGAAACAGAGCAGTGTGTGTGGACTGGAGTCGGGCTGAGCTTTTTATAGTGCAGCACTTTCACTTTCTCCCGGTCATGTGGTTTCCCAGAAAGAGTGGGCTTTACAGGACCCACTCTGTTCAGCTTCAGCCATCAGTTATACACAGCCCACTGGTCAGAAAATTGAGATTCAAGATTCGACACCTTTTGTTTTTTTTGTTTTGTTTTTTTGTTTACTAAAGAAGGGGAAAAAGTACAAAAATACAGAAAGTAGTGCTGAGTTCTAAAACAGAAAACCTCAACTGTTAGGCTTTTTTTCTTTTTTTGGCAGTTTGATCCTTTATTTAAAAGGTGTGAACATAATAAAAATATAAACAACCAAATAACTTTTTTTTTCCTTATCTGACTCCTTTAATTTGACATTTGTTTTCCACCTCCATTAGGACAGTACTGAGTATTTTCTACCTTCTTTAAGAGCAGTACTTAAGTTCCACCTCTATTGAAAGACAGTATGATACCTTTCCACTTTTCCTAATAGCAGTACTTTAAATGTTTTCTGTTACCTTGACCTCTTTCCCCTAAGTGCTCGCTGATGGAGAAGGATTCACAGACAGATCACAGAGTTGAATGCACTTCTATTTATTTACACTTCAAAATACCTATGGTCATGAGCTCTGGGTAATGACCGAAAGGACGAGATCGCGGATACATGTGGTCGAAATGAGTTTCCTCTGCAGGGTGGCTGGACGCTCCCTTCGAGATAGGGTGAGGAGCTCAGTTACGCGGGAGGAGCTCGGAGTAGAGCCGCTGCTCCTCCACATCGAGAGGAGCCAGTTGAGGTGGCTTGGGCATCTGTTCCAGATGCCTCCTGGGCGCCTCCCTCGGGAGGTGTTCCAGGCATGTCCCACCAGGAGGAGGCCCCGGGGAAGACACACTGGAGGGACTTTGTCCCTGGGCTGGCCTGGGAATGCCTTGGGGTCCCCTTGGAGGAGCTGGAGGACATGTCTGGGGTGATGGAAGTCTGGGAATCCCTGCTTAGACTGCTGCCCCCAGCACCCGGCCCCGTATAAGCAGAAGAAAATGGATGGATGGATGGACTTCAAAATATTGAATAACAAAGCAATAGGGTTCAACTACCTGTCCCTGACCCAATACAAAACCTGGGACCAGAGGGTGCGCCGCTCTCGTCTCCGCTTTCTAACCCTGAACCCCTTTATATAGTCTTTTTCTTCCTAGTGTAACATTGTGGTTTCTAGCCTTTTTTGTTTGAATCTGGGGTTGTCTTCTTCTTATTGGTCCACACAGTTCCTCATTGTAGATTTCCAAGACCTGCAGACTTGCTTTCTCCTCACACCATCTTTTTCACCTTTCACCCTGTCCGCGCAAAGAGGAAGCAGCATCACATTGGCCTTTATCTGACTCCATTTTTGCAACTCTGAGCTGTTTACCAGATGGTCGAGTTTCTATTCCTTTCTGACTGCATGCACATATTATTTGATTAACACTCTTAAACAATAAGCAGTCATACAGTTGTCCTAAACCACCCTTAAGCCCTATTCGTATGGGATCAGTATAACCTGTGAACCTTGGGTGAGTTGTAATAATTGCGGAGGATTCCTTAGATTTTAATCCTGTGCAAATGCGCCATGTGTGTAATTTGTAAAGTAAAAATGACACCGCAAATGATGACTATATTTCACCAAACGCAGACGTCTGGTGATAATACTAGTCTCGTGCAAATCTGCATCTCAGTGTTTGTTGTGGTAATTGTCTCGCGCCTTTTCTATCTCTTTCCAGCTTGAATATGGAGGCTGAGGTAGAAATTTAGATTTGCAGCTTTGACAACTTTTAGGGGCAAATTCTAATATGACACCGTATCGCACTATATGTAAACCGATCTGCAGAAATGGGAAGAGGTCCAAGAAGAGAGCCAGTTCTCGCAGGATGATGGCCTGGATGACATGTGTAACAGTAAACGGTAAGGAACATTTTAAATAATATAACTATCTAATAACTAGTCTAATAATCCGGCCCACCAAACTTTAATAAATTACAATAATAAACCTTGTTGATGTTTTATTTTTCCTGCATTTCCAGCGTTTCCCAGTAGATGGCGCACTGTATATTGAGGTGCGGCGTATTATGTTGGCCGCAATGCTTTATGGGAAAGTATTCTTTCGGACTAGCTAATGACAGGAGTTATAATATAAGGCTGCACTGTTTCCGTTTGAGTGGGTTTAAAGCAAAGTTAAAAAACTTAAAGATGCTGTGTTACTAATTACGACACATGAAATGTCTTAAGGGTCTGGTTTTGCTGCATGTAAGTGTTTATGCGTGTAACCTCGTGGCATGGGCTCTGTTTCTTAACGAGATTTAAGTGCTCAGGACTCACACTTGCTTGTGGTGTGCAATGGAATAGACCTCATTCACTTTTCATGTATTCTGACATTTATGCATTCTGAAGTTGCAGCGCGTAGTGCAGAATACATCCTACATGAATACGAATACATAAATACATAAATACGAGTGCAATGGAGCCAGGCTCTTAACACGTCCTGTCTCCTGTCTGGCCCTTCAGTCAAATTTTAGAACCCTATGTGGCCCCCGAGCCAAAAAGTTTGCCCACCCCTGAGCTAGACTATATCCTCCATATCAGGGGGCGGGGGCGATCTAGCGCCCGCTAGATCCACACTGGTTTAGTCTCGATTCAGTTCTATACCAGTCCTAGATTAGTCCCGGTCCAGTCCCGTACCAGTCCTGGTCTAGTCCTGGTCCAGTCCTGGTCTAGTCCTAGTCTAGCCCTGGTTCAGTCACCTTTATACTTACTGCTCTTCCTATTTTTATAGCTGATGTTATGACTTATCCGGTCTTAATTCCAGTAAAACTGAGTCATTTACGAACTTCGTTTATCATGTGCGAATGAGCTGCAAGTAACTCATAATTTACAAATTACCACATGTCCCCAGGTTGCACTTATCCTGTGCGAATAGGGCTAAACACAGCAATAATCAAACACGTAATATCTAACACTGCATGTCACTGGTACCTCGCTGTTTCCCCTCGGCTTCAAACTCGACGGCTGCTGCGGACTGTCTGCTCGTGCCTTTAAGTCGTGTTCTGTAGGCTTTTCTAGACATGACCTACGAGTGACTTAAGAAAGAACTCCAGGAGATGGAAAGGTATAGGTCTCTTTATTTTAGAGCAAGCAGTTTACAGGACTAGATTCGAGTGATTACAGAATTCAGTCACAAGCGTATCAAAATGACAGCAGAGTTGACAGCCCTTATACATGACATCCTGTTCAAATATCAACTTACTGATCAACTTGTTTTGCAGAATACTTCACAGACATATTGATCAGGCTACTGGGTTCATGTACGCCCCCTTTGGACCTTGATTTGAGGAAGCAACCATAAGAAAACATAAAAAAGAACATTTTGATATAATTAAAATTAAAGTGAAACATTAACAATTGTCACAGTTCACACCAGAGCGTCAAAGCCTCGAGTTTCTTTGTAAAGTCCATGTGAATGCATGTCTAGGGCGTTTGGCGTTTTGAGGCGCGTCTTCAAGCGTCAGCGCGATGCCAGAAAGTTGAAAATGCTGAACTTTTCGCATCAGGTGTGCCGAGTCAACCAGTCAGGGACGAGTATCCAGAGATGTAGCGACGTTATTGTCGGGAAGAAAGAGAAAAACCCGAGAACAGGAGTCACAAACATTAGCGGAGCATAAATATATACACCAGAATCATCGAGCCGATCGCCAGGACCACACCAGAACCAGACCAGAACCACACCAGAACCAGACCAGAACCACACCAGAACCACACCAGAACCAGACCAGGAACCACACCAGAACCACACCAGAACCAGACCAGGAACCAGACCAGGACCAGACCAGAACCACACCAGAACCAGACCAGGACCACACCAGAACCACACCAGAACCAGACCAGAACCAGACCAGAACCACACCAGAACCACACCAGAACCACCAGAACCAGACCAGACCACACCAGAACCACACCAGAACCAGACCAGAACCACACCAGAACCACACCAGAACCACACCAGAACCAGACCAGAACCAGACCAGGACTAGACCAGGACTAGACCGGGACTTGACCGGGACTAGACCGGGACTAAACCGGGACTACATGGGGACTAGACCGGGACTAGACCGGGACTAAACCGGGACTAGACCGGGACTAGACCAGGACTTGACCGGGACTAGACCGGGACTAAACCAGGACTAAACCGGGACTAGACCGGGACTAGACCAGGACTAAACCAGGACTACACGGGGACTAGACCGGGACTAGACCAGGACTAAACCAGGACTACACGGGGACTAGACCGGGACTAGACCAGGACTAAACCAGGACTACACGGGGACTAGACCGGGACTAGACCAGGACTAAACCAGGACTACATGGGGACTAGACCGGGACTAGACCAGGACTAAACCAGGACTACACGGGGACTAGACCGGGACTAGACCAGGACTAAACCAGGACTACACGGGGACTAGACCGGGACTAGACCAGGACTAAACCAGGACTACACGGGGACTAGACCGGGACTAGACCAGGACTAAACCAGGACTACACGGGGACTAGACCGGGACTAGACCAGGACTAAACCAGGACTACATGGGGACTAGACCAGGACTAGACCAGGGTTAAACCAGGACTACACGGGGACTAGACCGAGACCAGACCAGGACTAGACCGGGACTAGACCAGGGTTAAACCAGGACTACACGGGGACTAGACCGAGACCAGACCAGGACTAGACCAGGACTAGACCAGGGTTAAACCAGGACTACACGGGGACTAGCCTGGGACTAGATCAGGACTGGACCAGTGTCACTAGTGGAGTATACATACGCCGCAGTCATGGACCCGATCTCCTGCGCTGATGGTTTAATGAAATAAAAACACTAAAGTCTCTCTCAGTCTGGTCTGCCATTGTTTCGGCGCTTGTTTCCAGGGCAACGGACGCACGTCAAGTATTTTTCTCCTGTTCGTCCACGGCATCAAACACGCACGTCAGGGGCGTCTAAAGGCGTACAAATAGAGGCGTCTCGGGCGTTTTTTGACGCTCTGGTCTGAACACAGTTTCAGTGAGGCGCTCTTCCCTGGAATGAGGAGGCGATCAAGGCAAATGTACGCCTTGAGAACAGAGCGTCTAGATGCTCTCTGGGGCTCTCAATGAACAGTTTTCTAATGTTTTTCAGAAAACAACTACTCAGAATTCTGTTTTAGTGTAATTCGGAGTTCTGCAGCTTAGATTTCAGGATTGTCCCAAATTTTTCAGACATCTGGTCACCCCACTACTGATTAAGCTGTTCGATTAACCCTTGAAATATCCAAAAGGTAAATTCTCAGATCAAAAATCTGTACTTTTATCTTCCATTTTATTTTATTATCCATTCATTTGTTTTAAAGAGGTTATTACACTTGTGTGAGATATTAACTGTTAACACACAACACATTCACATCACCCTAGCATTTGTATTGTTTTGAAAATGCTCTATTCACTTTTTCATCTTTTGATTGTTTTTGATGCTGAGTCTCTTCTCCTGTTGCTCTCTCCGCTAAGTCACTCACCCTTTAGAGCACAATCACTACTAAACATGAGTGCGTATACATGCACATCAGTATCCTGGTTATGATCGGGTTTTCTGATTATCCCGGTTTTGTCATGCTGCATGTATACACAGTATCCCTTAAAAGGCAGTATCCCTGTTATGAAAAAATGCATGTTTTTTTTTCAGCACTTACAGTTTATGCAAATGAGCCATGTGGTTTTAAGTTTCTTTTCTGTAAAATGTAAACAAATGTGTGCAAAGCTGTATTATATGATCAAACGGTCTGATGTGACTCTATTGGTTATGGTTTATATGTTGATAAGTTGAGTTTATTTATGCAGAATATTTGAATTATTAATCTGCTGCAGTGTATTTGGAAACGTTTGGTTTGATCTGTGCAGTGGATTGTGGGATACCTCATAGCTCCTTACCGCTGGTTAGGAATCTCCTGCTGCTTCTCTGCTTAAGGAGCTCATGTTTGCTTGTATTTTTTATGGTTTATTAAATATGTAATTTTTGCGCTTGTGCAAAAATATCTGTAATATCTGTAAGATATTGGAATACTCCATTTCATTTGATCATGTGCACAGGGATATGAGTGTCCCGGTTTCTCAGTGCACATGTATACACAGTATCCCGAATACTGCAATAACCGGGATATGGCTAATAACCGGGATACTGATGTGCATGTATACACACTCCATTACGAGAGTTTGAATATGGCCTGTTAGATAGATTTCTCAAACATGGAATAAACTGCATCTAAAACTTCTTCAGGCATGTTTTTAATGAAAACAATGTTATAACATGGTAGAAAGCTAAAAAAAAATAAATAAAATAAAAAAAAAATCCTGATTTTGCATAATGCCTGCCCATAGACTTTAACTACACTACCGGTCAAAAGTTTTAGAGCACCCTAATTTTTCCAGTTATTTATTGGAATTCAAGTCGTGCAAGTTCAATGAAGAACTTGAAAGGGTTAAAGGTAAGACCTGAACAGACAGGTTAAAAAAAGTAAAAGATACAAAACACAAATCCAAGTTCTGCAAAAACGACCTCAGGAAAAAAAGAATATGATAGTGATCTTGAAAACATGGAGTGTCCAGCAGCAGCACAGTGTCCAGACTTAAACCCCATCGAGCTGGTTTGGGATGAACTGGACAGAAGAGTGAAGCAACCTACAAGTGCCACACATTTATGGAAACTTCTGCAACAGACTTGGGAAGAATTTTGTGAAGAATATTTGATTTCTATTGTAAAAAGAACGAGCCACGAGTCAAAGGTGGACACATTCATCAATCAAAAGTTTAGAATACGTTTGGTCAACAGGAAACCGTAAAAAACTGTGTGGTGTTCTAAAACTTTGGACTGGTAGTGCATATTTCTACCTTTACTTCTAAACACAACAAATGTATGCTAAGATTGGTGAATGATCAAACTGAAATTTTCACCACTAAACCAAACAGATAAAATTATACTTGTTTTCGGTTGGCTTTCCGAACCACTTATTCCCTCCCCGCGCCATGGCTCCGTTAAAACCGCACTGGCTGGGCTCCTTCCCGTCCCATTTTGAATTGTACACGTAGTTCCCGTCCACCCAGATCCACGCCTCCAGGAAGCAGGTGTAGTGCAGCCCCACCCACACGAACTCGCTGTCCGCCATGTGGGCTCTCTCCCGGGCCATCCTGCACAGCTGCTCGTTGCTCATCACTGCCAGATCGCGGTGGTTCCGGCGGCAGTAGTACAGGGCCTCCTCCCAGGTCATATTCTCTTTGATCAGGATCATGAAGTCTGGTGAGAGAAGGCAAAGGTCACGGTGAGGCCAGGATTCAATAACTGAGCAAATGGTTTCAAAATTGTAGTTTAGGAGAAAAAAGTACAGTCATTTATGGGCCCGGTCAAACAGAAGTAAACATCAAGGCCAAAAATTCAAGTTAATGCATCTGATATAAAAATGTATTGAACAGATACATATGTACTCTAGTTTATGAAACTGTTGACCTTTTTTCTGTACCATTTTTGGTTCTAAAGTTCCATATGTTTTAAACAGACCATGTATGAAACATGGAACAAAAATTATTTAATTATTATTTAATTAATTTAATTATTTAATTTTCAAAGACCTGCAAATCATGTCAATAAATGGATGTATTTCATCATATCTTGTGTTATTCCATCTTTGAACTGTTGATGAAGGTACAGGATTTTTATTTTTTTTTATGTATTTAAAATGATAAAAATTTGCTTGGAAGGACTGACATATTTTATAGAAATAGTTTTCTTTCATTTTGAAGTAATGTTAAAGTATTCGGAAGAAAAAAAGTTGACAAATGATGTAAAATCCTGCACCTTCTACTTGTTTGTACAATTTTCCCTCCGTTAACATGACCTTTCAGGTTTTTCAACCTAATCTTGTACCATATGGTAGAAAACTATATGAAGCAAATATTCAAACCAGTTTGTTAAGGATATGGAAGTGAGAACCAAGAGTTATCACTGTTTGGATTTATTGCCCAAAAAGTGCTGCATATTTCATTCCCTCTGTTACTGACATGAGTTTTTAAATTTTTTGTCCACAACTTGAAAGAATATCACAGGTTTAACTTGACCCTGTTGGAGTGTAACTCTTTCCTACATTCTGATACTTTACTTATTTCAATAGTCCCTCTAGTTTCTGAATAAGAAACATTTGAATGTCAAAAATCTGCCCCTGTTTCCCTCCTTTACCACTTGACTGGACCCATATGTGTTACCATCAAGATTCTGGCCACAGTAACAAAACAAGGCAAAACTATAGAGCTCCTGCTGTTGTCGTCATGCAATCCAAGCATGCACCTCCACACCCCACACTGGCAGTGGACAAGCAAAGAATTCCCATAGAAATGAATGGCATCGAACCGTAATGAACAAACTTCATGGAGTTTCAGAGATTGTGGATTATTGTTGTACACCGGGATGTGACATGACACAATGTGACAAGAAACCCTGAGCCTTTTACTGGATTTATAAAACTTCAGCGAATGTTAATCAAACGGTACATTAATTAATCTATGAATCTATTAATTACATCAGTATATTTTCTTTACTTGCCTTAAATTAAATGATAAATAACAGTTTCATAACGATTCAAAACCTGTAAGTTTGTGTATTGTCGACAAGCATTAAATACTAGGGGTGTAACTGTACATGTATTTGTGCTGAACTATTTCAGTACGGGATGTTCGGTTCGGTGCAGGGCTGTGCACGAGTGAATTTGAGCAATTTTTGAGTGTTTACATTCCGCCACTACATGTGCTACATGGAGGATCGGCTCTTTAATATTCATGAGGACCTCGTCTGTGGTTGGGGCAGTGTTTCCCGCAGCACTTTATAGTTAGAGCAGTCGCCTTGACAGCAATTGCCCCCCGTCTTCACTACGTCCCTCCAAACATGTGAATCCTCACAACACTATGGTGGTCTCGCCGCAGCCCTCTCTTTCTGTTATTGCTGTGCTTTACTTTTTGAAAAGTTTTGTTTACTGCTTAGAATTTTTTTAACTAATATTTCATACAATTGTTGCTTATTTGAGAACCAAGCAGGACTTTGCATTTATTTCGTGTTCATGTTTGTGTAATGTTAAAACAAATTGTTGGTTTAATAAACACACAAACAGTTTTGCATGTTGTTCCCAAACTGTACCGAAAATGAACCAAACTGTGACCTCAAAACCGAGGTATGTACTGAACTGTGATTTTTGTGTGCCGTTACACTCTTATTCAATGGTGTATTAATGAGGCAGAGACAGAGCAGACTGAAGAGAAACAATCTCAATTCCGATCTTGCTTAACACTGTTCATATCATTAAGTGACTGTTTAGAAATATGAATTGTAGAAAATAAAATCACAAACTAAAATTAAATCAATGATTTCTGTGTTTATTACATTGACACGAGTGATTCAGCTGTTATGTAGCTACAACATTGGCACTTTAGTCATAACACATTCTACTTTCACTGTTTTATCCATTTCTCATCATTTAAACTGTCACTATCACGTAAACATTACATATATATTTATAGGGCTTTATAATAACGTCTATTTTTCACAAACATCTCCAAGCCGTTTTTTTGATGATAGAAGGAAAAAAGTAAACCAGATGTCCAAATGTTGCAGAATTAATAGAACAGAAAGCCTTTATTGTCATTATACAACAGTATAATGAAATTCAGAGCTGCTCCATCAAAGTGCAAGAATTAATAATAAATAAAACAATGGCAAAAGGAGAAATTCAATTTGTCAACTGGGCAAAAGTTTATTTGGTCTGTTTTGCAGCTCATCCACTCTGCTTCTTTAGTTCTAGTCGAAATGAAAATACTCCAACTTCAACTACTACTACTACTACTACTACTACTACTACTACTACTACTACTACAAAACAAAACAAAAACATCTACTTTAGTTTCAGAGTAGTTTCATTGTAGTTAGCTCCTCCCCTCAGGCCGATATATGGAAGTGTCCACCAGCGTTTGGACGAGCTGTGAAATGTTTTCGACCACATAAACTTTTGTCCATTTGACAAAATGAATTTCTCTTTTTGCCCCGAATTTTACCTGGACGACTGAGGAATTTTACACCCATTACAGAATTAAGGCAAAATCTACACAATCTATCTGTTTTAAATCCCACCTGTGCAGGTAAGAGTCACTCATGTTTAATCTGATTAGTTTTAAGAGAAATCATTGTCTACATTTTCCTTTGATGACAAAGCAAACCCAAAATCGGACTTCGTGCCAATCATTACGCATCATTATTCATCACTCTTTGTTGTGATGACATTTACGGCGATGTAAGTTCCTATCAGTCACCACGGCAAACTTTCTAAAAATGATAACCTAGCGATCCACTGGTGTCATAGATTATTACTACAGTATGTGTTCTTCTTTAAGGCACCTGACTTTAGTTGCACTGGCCACTGGAGGGAGAACACACAGATTTTTGAACAGAAAGCTTCAAATTTACTTACTTTGCACTAAAATTGACCAAAAAAATGACTAGTATAACCGGGTGGTTAGACTATTCTGGCTGTGGTGCGTCCGTGAAGGCATCCACCTGTGCGTCGCTGTGCGTGGCTCCCGGCGTCACTGATTAAGCGATTAGAAAAGGCTGCACAGGCCGTAGTGGGGCAGTCAGGGCTTTCGGTGTACTGGAGTTGTTCCTTCAGTGTTAGAACTTGTTTTAATGCCTTGTTTCTGATTAAATCTAAAGGTGGTGTCTGGAGCAGGCGGAGACGGCGGCCGCTCCTAATGTAGAATACGCCTATACTAGAAACCAGGTAGAGGCTCTGGGTGATGCATGTTTGGGGGTGGTGGCTTTTGTTGGCATGTATTAATTGATGTATCTCTGTGTGGCAGATTATGCTGCTGCTGCTGCTAGATTCTGCTCTCAAACTCTCCAAATTTTCAAAGTCCAAGTCCCTTAAATTTTCTCAGTGATTCTGTAGTTTCTTTTATCTGTAGTGGGAGTATAATTGCTATAGGATCGGCTAGGGGGGGTGTGCAATAGCAGATAGTGCACTTTAAAACATCTAAAGTCCTAACAGTGAAGCCACGCACCTAGCACTTTGCATCTAAAAATGTGAATGTGTATCATTTTAAAAGAAAATGTGTAAAATGAGCTCTTTTTATATTAACAAAAATAAAGAACCGTATATTTTTCCACTTTAATGCCTTTGTCCTGTGTTTAAGCCAGACTTACCTGTGTTGTAAATAATTAAATAAATAAATAAAAGTGGGGGTACCCCCTTTGAAGTCCCCTCTCTGCTACACTAGGAACAGTAGATGATGCTATTAAAACACCATATACATGAAAAAAGTGTATTTAGTTTAGTTCTACTTGTGCCGGTGCTTGTTGAAGCTGATGATACGGGCTTCGATTAGATGACTGTTTGCCTTTTTGCATTTTAACTTTTACTCACCGTCGTAGCAGATAAAGGGACGTGTCTCTGTACAGTCTTCACTCCTCCACTTCTTCTGCGCTCCTATGATGGCACACTGGTTGGTTTGTGGGTTCCAGTTGTCATTTAAAACCATTTCAGAAGCATCCCAGTTTCGGAAAGAGGAGTTGCTTCCATTTGACCAGCCCCAGGAGTCTTTGAAAAGCCCTATCCAGTATTCACCACATGGTCTTGTTAAATGTGGTCCTGTCAGGTCAGTGTGGTGGTCCCGGCAGAACTGCAGAGCTCCCAACCAGTTCTTCTTCTCAGAAGTATTAACAGAATCTGTGGGTGAACAGATAATTCGTTTTGAAAGAAATACAGTGTAGGTGTCTTCATTGACCTTAAGAAGGCTTTTGATACCCTTCATCATAATAATCTATTACAAAAACTAGAAAAGTGTGGCTTCAGAGGACCTGTGCATGCATGGTTATAAAGCTATCTCCAAAACTGACAGCACTATGTTGAGACAAATAATGAAAAACCTGAAATTTTAAAAGTAGCTAGTGGAATTTCACAGGGTTCAACGCTTGCGTCAAAACTAATGAAAGTATGGTTTGATACGACTAAATTGTTTCTAAATGTTTGACAACTGTGCAACTTATGACAATGAAAATAATGCAAAAAGCCCAAACTAATGTGGCAAAAGCAAAAAGGAAAGAGAAATGTTAAAGCAGAGTATACGTTTTAGAGCTTTTGAACATGTTCTAGTTGTTTCCCCTTCTCTTTTATCCTGTAAAATTGTATTTAGAAGGATTTATACATGTTTGAGTCTCTTTATTCTTCTGTATTCCAGGTGTCACTGCTCTGATCTACCTCTGTTTTCACTGCCACCAGTACACCCACTGCTCTGTACTAACTCATATGATTTTCTTAATCTGTGGCACATGTAGGATTTCAACTCCCACTGAGCAACTCAGTTAGTGAACTTGTTTCTTTTTGTCATTTTAGATCAATATTGTGATTTGAAATGTCCAAATTATAACATAACTAGAAAAGCACTCAGAGAGCGCAGACCTCCGCCAAGGACTACAGTCCCCCTCATATTAATTGTGTTTTCCATAAATATTTGTCTCGTATCTTTCAATTTGGAATATGAAAGAGGATCCCATTGTCCATCCCTGAGTCTGATTTCATGGGGTTTGGTCAATAATTAACCAAGATATTGAGAAACACAATTTTTGGCCCCATTTACCACAATGTTAACTAAAATTTCAAAGTGATCCAGAATCCAGGGTTTCTTCCGGATCAGCCCCAAAATGAAATCAGTTCTTCCTTTTCACATTTCCAACAAATCCTGAAAATTTCATCAAAATCGGTCCATAACTTTTTGAGTTATGTTGCTAACAGACAAACAAACAAACAAACAAACAGACAAACAAACAAACAAACAGACAAACGCCGGCAAAAACATAACCTCCTTGGCGGAGGTAATAATCCACACGTGTCATGGATTATAACAAAGAGCAACACAAAAACAATGACTACGTTCAGACTGCAGGGTTAACGCTCAATTCCGATTTTTTTGTGAAATCCGATATTTTTTTGAGGTCGTTCACATTTCCAATTAAATGTAACTTGTATGTGACTCCAGTGTGAACATTAAACGGCCCAAAAGTGTCCTGCATGTGCACTGAAGACACGACGACATCAACCGCAGCGAGCGTCTCTGTGTTCACAGAAGTTGTCCAAACATGGACGCAGCATCGAGCACCTGGAGATTTTAAAGTTCCTCTCGTACCGGAGCCAGAACATGAACAACTTACTTGTTTTAAGGAGGAGATTGAGAAGGAGAAGGACGAGGTTTTTGACCGTGGTGTTTTGTGGGGCAGCGGCAGCGACGTCCGTTGAAAGGAACATGTGGATGTGGAGACGGAGCCAAGAGTGGTGAGTGGTGATGTGCTTTGCTTCAGTGACACGGAGTTCATTAACAATTTTCGCCGACTTCAGCGCAGAATAATGACGATTGTGGCTTGTTGATAAGGTGTAGGTGGATGAATGCACTTTGGCCGTTCAGACTGAAGTCACATGTCAAAAGATCAGATATGTATCGGTTTCAGGAGCACATTTCGAAGTGGCCTGGGTCACATTTGAAAAAATCGGATCTGTGTGGTTCAGACTGACATTAAAAGATCAGATACAGGAACATAGGAGCCAAAAAATCGGATTTGGGTCATTTTAGGCTGCAGTCTGAACACAGCCAATATGTCTTCTGTAAAGACTGAAAAATCCATTAACTGATACATGTGTAAATTTTGTGTTTACTTTTGACAGAATGACAGAAAATCATTGAATCTTGATGTCTTTTGATGTTTTTAATGATCAGATTTGTCTTGTGCATCTGAACACACACCCAAGAGCAGATCTGCTTAAGGATAAGGATATCTTATTAATCAAATTATCTGAATTTTAGAGGCCATGTAGACATAAATTTATGATGGGGCAAAAAAGTTACACGGATTAATTGAATTTTAAGTTCAATTTTTTTTATTTATTTTTTTTTTTTATTTCCACCTTCTTGCATTGGAAATGCTGGAGAGGCAGCTCTGTGCAGCCTTAGGGTGCAGAGCTTTTAAAGTGCTGAGATTCCTTCATGTGAAGAGAAAAGAGTTTAGCACCTGGCCAGAGCTGATGGCCCTGAAATCTGTGACGCTGAATTAAATTTAGTGAAAATGCAAATCACTTCTTTTGCCCCATATCAGCTTCATGTTGAATGCAGCCCCAATACTGTTAGGATCAGTTTGTTTCATCTCATTCATAAAATTCCCCCAAATCTTAAACATGATCCCTCCTCAATACATCAGAAATTTAGCTGCATTTAGCTTTTATACTAATCATAAATAATGAACATTTTAACAAACAGGAGTTTACTATTTACAGTAATACAACCTGAATTCAAACAATTATACAAATCCTCTTACAACAGCAACATTTTTAATCAGTGGGTGAATTTTTGGAGAAAAATTGCCCAGCCTTATGTAAATGTACTCACTGTTGTAGCAGATAAAATTGAGAGACTTCTCACAGCTTCCATCGTGCAACTCGCCATCCCTCAGAAACCCACAATATTGTTTATTTCCACCTTCACCCGTGAACCAGTTTGTCTGACTTTTATTGTACTCCAGGCCAGGTAGTGACCAGTGCCAGACCTTGTCCATTTTCTGGCGGTGGTGAAGGCCGATCCATGCCCCTAATGGCCCTGGGCACTTTCCGGACACATTTCCACAGACTCTGCCCTGAGCCTCTGCCCAGTCATCCACAGTCACCAGGTCCGTGTAGTTAGCTCTGCAAAAGCACTGCGCCTCCCGCCAGGTTTTGTTGAGATTGATAAAGTGATACCCGTATTTCTGACACAAAGCAACAGAACACAGGCCTAAGAAGAAGAGAGGAGAATGTGGATAATCATCTTGACAGTAAATAAGTCATTCAAAGAGTCAAGAAGAAAATGAAGCAATGAAAATAAGGTTGTGACTTACTCAAAACAAGAAGTAACAACCTTGGGTCCATCTTAACCTGTAAAAGAAAATGTAGAATACTGTTTCAAGAGTGGACAAAATGACGCTCTGTGACACCCAATATTGTGAGCTTGTTTTAAAGCTCCTATATTACACAGAACTGACTCCTGTGAGCTTTAAAGTGCACATGTTTTACACATATCAAGAAGCAATTTGTGAAGAAAAGTTGAAAATTAAAATAAGCTGAAAATTACCAGAAGTAGATGACATTAGGAAGAATTACGCCCAAAAGTTCAGCACAATTTTGGCACTTTAAACAACAAAAGTCTTCTTACAATTCTTGTGCACATTAGAGGACTTTTGGCCCAGTGTACCACATGGTTAGGTAATGGGTAACAGTTATGGAATTCCCTAGTGTAATTCGTGATTTGTGATTTCCAGCCAGGAAGTTCTAAAAAATGGCCAAACAATTCAATTTTTCTTAAATGTGTTTTCATAAAATGAGTAGTCTGATCTGTCATAGGTACTTTAAGCCATGTTATAATGTTGTTACCTCCTCAAAAACACACCTAGAGTTGTTTCATTCACACGTTTGAGTAATCCTTTATTATTAGTCTGTCTACATCTCCAAAGATTAAAATGCTGTGTTTCAGCTTGTAGTGGTTGTTTTCCTTTAGTTCCGAGATGAGCAATTCCAGGGCAGAAATCATGCAAATGATTCTAGTGAAAATGTATGGGAGGCTGTAATCTTAGCCCAAGTACAAGTGTGGGGCGTGGAGTGGAGCAGACTGAGGGCAGGTGTGGCGTGTTCAGTGAATTGCCAGAATCGTAAAAATAAATATTAAACTAGTCCAGTGAAAAACAACATGTAACATGCTTGAGGCTTTTTTATTTGGAAATATATTAGGATGATAAATGCTTAACATTCATAAAATGTTTGTGTGTGTGCAGGATGTTCGTGCTCCATCTGGATGCCCTCCCGCAGCAGAGCACAGCCTCTCGTCCGCTCTCTGTATCGGCTCAGCTCTGTTCTATAGTTTGGTTTGATCTGGATCTGTACAAAAACTGCTCATTCACGTGAGGTCATTTTTAGCTCTGTCCTAAAGTCTGTTTTCTTACCATGTCTGTGTCCTAATGCTGCGATGTCAGATTTCCCAGGTCTAAACCAGGACTCAACCAGGTCTGAACCAGGACTGAACCAGGTCTAAACCTGGTCTAAACCAGGTCTGAATCAGATCTGAACCAGGTCTAAACCAGGACTCAACCAGGTCTGAACCAGGACTGAACCAGGTCTAAACCTGGTCTAAACCAGGTCTGAACCAGGTCTGAACCAGGTCTAAACCAGGACTCAACCAGGTCTGAACCAGGACTGAACCAGGACTAATTACACTGTATAAAAGAGTAAAAAAAAAAAAATATATAATATATATATATATATATATATATATATATATATATATATATATATATATATATATATATATATATATATATATATATATATATATAGTGCTGTCATGCGATAAAAAAATTTAGAGATTAATTAATTATGATCTGTAATTAATTAATCTAATTAATCTCATTTTAATCTCACCTAAAAATTGCTGAGAAAAGCCTTCAGTTTGAGGTATTTTCATTTAAATTCATTATTACATTATTGTGGCAGATATAGATTAAAAAAAGTGACTTTATAAAGTCATTTATTGTTTAACAAATCTCTTCAAATTGGCTGTTGAGCCCAAGTCTCCATGAATAAGAAACTGTTTGCTGTAAAGTAGCAAAGACGAGGAAATCTGAACATAATAACTTTTGTCTACTTAAAGACAATAAAAAGTCCAGTCTTTCCTTAACCATATTAAAAATATTATTGATGGAGAAATATATATGAGATCACTGGTTTTAGTCCTTGTTTTAGTCCTGGTTTAGACCTGCTTTAGTCCTACTTTAGTCCTAGTTTAGTCCTGAAATGGATTAATCCTGGTTTTAGTCCTGGTGTTAGTTCTGGTTTAGTCCTGGTTTAGACCTGGTTTAGACCTGGTTTAGTCCTGGTTTAGTCCTGGACTGGATTAGTCCTGGTTTTAGTCTTGGTGTTAGTTCTGGTTTAGAGGCGCACAGGAGGAAGCGCGGTTTACGCAGCGTACGCGAGAAAACACGATCCACACGCGGCGCACGGGAGCACGTCGGTGTCCGCGCAGTGTCTACGGAAGGAAATGTGGTCCGCGCGTTCTCAGGTTAATGACGATGATGAAGGTGTGTGTTTGTGTTTGTTTGGGTTTGTGTGTGTATGTTGTGTGTGTTGTGTGTGTGTGTTTGTGTGTTTGTGTGTTTGTGTGTGTTTGTTTGTGTATAGGACAGTAGTGCAGACATCATGAGTCTGTGCAGGTTGTTTTCACCAGTGACATTTAAGTTGTAGGCGATATTATATTTGTTATTTTCTTTTATATTTCACGTCGGGAGAAGAATTTCCAAGACATGAATGCGTTTTTACCTGTGCACTGCTGCCTCTGTTCTACTGGCTCTTCAACCTCGTCCATTGTGCGACTGACGCCGTAAATGTCGCTCTTACTGCGCGTGTTTTGTGTGGGTTTCCGACAATGAGTGGAATTGCCGAAATTAAAAAATGTATAAATGTGTTTTTTGTTTGTGCGTGTGTGTGTGTTGTTGTCCCAACAACACATAAAAACAGGTTTTATAATAAAGCAACTCACATACAGAAACACTAAAGTTAGAGATTAAAAATGAGATTAACGCGATTAAAAAACATAACGCGCTAAATATGACTGTAATTAATTAATCACAATTAACACGATAATTTGACACCCCTATATATATATATATATATATATATATATATATATATATATATATATATATATATAATCAAATTTCCATGTAAATTTGTGTGTAAATTTGAATAAAGATTTGCCTCTTCCTCCTGATGGCTTATTTTTAAAATGTATTTACATGCACAGTATTCATCACCTGATCCTAGCATCAGTACTAACCAGACCCAGCCCATCTGACATTAGGAATGTTTCACAGTATGGCATTAAGATTTTCAAGCTCCATGGAGATCAACCCAGACCAAGTTATAGGTCAGATCTGTGGAGAAGCGACACCGCTCACAGTCCCAGTGCCTGTTTTTCTTGGTATTGTTAAGTTATAAAATCAATTGTAGTTGAATAAATGTAAGGTAGAGTTGTTTAAAGTCATACTGTGGAACATTCCAGGTAGAGCAATGACATCTCCATAGAAACAAGCAGGTGATGGGCCCCCAACCAAAAATGTACATAGTGCATAGTTGTGATTGTACCTTTTTATACCTTCACATCGTTCCTTTAAAGGTTATTTTCTGATCTATGTTATAATGGTGTTTTGTGTTTGATTAAATTATGTTTTTTTTTGTTTTGTTTTTTTTTGTTTCATTCACATACAGTTAAACACACAAATCCCGCATATTTAGGCTGAGTTTTTCTCACAAACTGAAAACACTCACCATCCACCTTGTGATTTTAAACTCCATAAACCACTGGTCTCCAAACTCCACTGGTAACTCGGGAGTTACCAGTAGCTCTCCACCCCATTACAAGTAGCTCGCCAAAGTTATTTCTGAATTATACGTACTGTACCGTATAACTCAAATTTGATTGATTACCACTGTTATTGTTATTTTGAACTCTGTCAACTAATAAATAGATAATGGTTTAATGTTTTATAGGCATCTAACGGTACATCTAAGGCTTGTCCTCTTATATTGAATCAATTTCTTACAGGTAGTAGTAAAATGAGTAGCTCTCCTAACACAAAAAGTTTGGAGATCCCTGCCATAAACCTTTACTAGAATCAGCTCAGTATTTATACATGCACATCAGTATCCTGGTTATGATCGGGTTTTTTGAGTATCCCGGTTTCTTCATGGTGCATGTATACGCAGTATCCCGGTTATGACAGTATCCCGGTTATTAGAAACCAGGATACTGTAGCTGGTATTTTCCGATAGTAACCGGGACACTGTGACATGTAAACACAGTATCCCAGTTGCTGCTACATAAAGTTGAGTGTGCATGCATCCAAAAGACAAATGCTTTCCAGTCTTTTCACCGCAACCGTAGCGACTTAAATAAAGTGACCGACATAAATAAAGTGACCGACATAAATAAAGTGACCGACATAAATAAAGTGACCGACATAAATAAAGTGACCGACATAAATAAAGTGACCGACATAAATAAAGTGACCGACATAAATAAAGTGACCGACATAAATAAAGTGACCGACTTAAATAAAGTGACCGACATAAATAAAGTGACCGACATTAAATAAAGTGACCAACATAAATAAAGTGACCGACATAAATAAAGTGAGCCAACATAAATAAAGTGACCGACATAAATAAAGTGACCGACTTAAATAAAGTGACCAACATAAATAAAGTGACCGACATAAATAAAGTGAGCAACATAAATAAAGTGACCACACAACTGAAATGACTGTAGAATAAAGAGCTGTGCTAAACCTGCACACGTACAATCTGCACTCATATGATGTGCATGCGTACGATCGCTGAAAGCTAAAACATGAACTATCTCCTACGACATACGCACAGAACAGACTCACCATCATTAGCACTTTTTCTGTCACAAAAAGAACACACATAATCCACTGAGTCGTGTTCCTTTAGTTCGACAGAAGCTGAACCGCAGCGGCACAAGAAGCTCATTTGTAAAATTATGTCCAGAACCCGGGACACTCCATTTGATCATGTACACAGGAATATGAGTATCTCAGTTTCTCAGCGCGCATGTAAACGCAGTATCCCAAATACTGACATAACCAGAATATGACTAATAACCGAGATACTTATGTGCATTTATAGACACTCATTTGGTAATTTCTGGTCTAGAATTGCCTATCTCTGCTGAAGTAAAGGTAAAATGTCGCTGTTAACTCGAAAACTACCACGTCATGACATCACAAGATGGAACAGAGCATTTTGAGCTTGAGATGTAGCCAGACTAATAATAAAGTATTACTCAAACATGTGTGAATGAAATAAAACTCAAGTCCAGGTCTGATTTTGAGGAGGGAACAACATTATAACTTAAATTTCACACTAGTCAGTTTTGTGGAACATAGGACCTACAGTATTTCTTTCTGTCAGTCACTATTAGTTTCATGATTGGACATTTCTAGGACATTCTAATGGGTCCAACTGACTTTTCTCTTTTCTATTTGAATTGCAAGATCATTGAAAACAATCACCTCACCTTTTACGTGCTCCTCCCTCTGCTGTGTTGAACGGTCTGTGTTCAAACTTCAGAACTCAACCAACTCCCTCATCTGTATTTGAATGTTTTTGAATATGAATTGTGTTTTTTACTGACTACACACCGCAACATAATAGAACTCTTTGTAACAGGTATTTCCATGTAACTCAGAGTGATGCGGGTCTGAATTCACTCTTTGTTTGACTCTTTTGCATATGGCATAAAGGCGAAAGAGAGTCTAATGTGTGTGGAATGGTTAGTCTGTTTCATATCAAGTTTACAATTTTAAAGTTTTAAAAGTTTACAATAAGAAGATATAGAGATAGAATGATAGATCATGGATGGATGGATGGATAGATACATGGATAGATGCGTGTCTGGTACAATAGTTAGCCTATGTTTTTGTATTTTTCTATGAATCACATATTGTATCATGGCCTGGAGTACAAGTTTACAATAACAAGACAGACAGATGGATGCAGAAGGATAGTTAGGTCGATGGAATGATGGATAGATCATAGATAGATGGATATACATGCAGAGAATATTCATGTTTTTAAGAGTAGGCTCAAGACCCACCTTTTTACTTTAGCGTTTGATTGAAATGTTATACTTTTATTTATTTTTATTATTTAATTCTATTTATTTATTTTAGGTGTCTGTCCTGTGGGCTTCAGGTGGAGGGTTGGTGTTTGGGCCTCATCTGTCCCCTGGGCCCTGTGTCCTGGTGGACGGATGGTCCATGTTCACAATTAATTGTCACAGTCCCTCTACCACCTCTGACCTCATCTGCCACTTCCTGAGCAGCCACCTCCTTCCCCTCCCATTTGGTGTTTCAGGAGTGGAGACAGGTGCTGGAGCCATCCTCAGCTGAGCTCACTCTACAATCAACAGGGTTGAAAAGCCACTCAAGCCAACTCAGCGCTGCCAGATCATAATACTCCTACAGTCAGTGCTACGTTCCTGCTATGTTTGTTATACCTACCTGTTACTCAGATACTTACCTTTTGTCCTTCTGCCTCAGATCTCCCTGCTCCAGTCTCCTTCTCCAGTCTCACAGCAGATTTGCTGTGGAACAGTTTGGCTATTCATGACTTGTTTCAGGAGGTACCCATAAAAATTCTCAAACATAAAGGCCAAGTGGGCCCACAAAGGACCCCAGTGCGCAACACTCCTGCTTAAATGCAGAAGTTAATGAACACTGAATGTCATCTGCTCCTCCCCATACAGTGACTGGACACAACCAACAAAGTGCACTAATGCTGCATCAGCACGATCTAACTGCTCTGTAGTTAATTCAGTGCCCAACAGAATGCTTATGCCCTCTATTAGGAATGCCCAATAAGAGAGATACTTCTATAGAAGTATACCTATCAGTACTGGCAGGCTCTAGTATAAAAGCCAGTGTTCTCACTCATGGGCTTTCCACAACTTGTGTTCAGTAAGAGATCTTTGGACTCGAGCGACAACACTTGGAGGTTTTGTGGTTAAAAGATGTCTGCCAGTGAGTACAATTTGTGTGCCAATATACCATGAATCCATCCATACATTTGCCATTTGTCTACATACACCTAGCAACACACAGTGTATATAGTCAGGGACCATCCCATTGATTTGATCAAATTTTGGCAAATCTGCTCCTTTAATGTCCAGTATAGCCTTCCCTTCTCTTTCAGCTGTTTGTTCTCTTTCTAGTGGGCTTTGAATGACAAACCAAGTGACGGAATGTATACACATGTATATGTCCTTGCATTTCCTTGTCCCTTCTTTGTCTGTACACCAGGGTGAAGACAGACACACACAGCCATGTTCACCATTCAGTTGGCTGAAATTCTGTACTAATGGCCTTGCCACTGCATCACACACACAACACAATGGGTGAACGTTCACATGTCTCCATGACTTCTCAGCAGGATGCTGCCACTCAAAACCAACTTGTGACTTGTACATTCCCTCACAAATGGTTTGAAGTAACATGTCATGTCTGGCTTTCTTGTACATGTGAAGTACATGCTTATGTCAGGTCTCATTAACACAACATAATATCAGCCAAATGCAGACTTATGAAGACTTGAAGAGACTGGTACACCATCACAATTAAATGTAAGAGACAAAAAAGTCTCCTCACTGTGGTGATGATAAAGCTTGAAAACATGGAGAGTCCAGCACAGTCTCCAGACTTAAACCTCATGGAGCTGGTTTGGGATGAACTGGACATCTGGCATCTCTGTACCTTAACAAAGCCCTCTCTATTTGTGAGCTTTAAAGTCTCTCAAACATGTCCCAAACACAGACGCAGCGCCAGCCCTCCCATTTCCCACTGTGAAGAAGGTCAGTGAACAAGTCACTTCACTAGCAAACATGTGACAAAGACATGGGTTGAAAAACGGTACAAAAACAAACTTATCCAACAATACAGATTTGATCCACGACGTATGTTTTGCTAAAGTTATTCAAGATTCAGGGAAGTACGTTGTACATTTTGAGACGATTTGAGAGAATTTAAAAAGTAGTACAGGGTAGAGCAGTGAAATATTTGACTAAAATGTTAAACTGTTGAAATCACCTTTCTACCAAAGGAACTGACAAAAATCTACAATTAAACTATCAAAATCTTACTATTTAGAGTTTTATTTTACACAAAGATATTATGAACAATAATCTTATTGTGCTCATTTCATACTAAATGTTTGCTACATTTAAAGCAAAATGTTCTGTTTAGTGGCCTTGAATGATCTTCCCAGAATTTTATATATCACTTAAAAAGATTTTCCCTGATTATGTGTGAACAAAAAAACAACATTTATAGGCATGTGTAGAGACATTTTTGCCTGTTTGTCACCCTGAGGCTGTGAATTCTGCTGTAACACCATTAAAGGTAAGAACCATCCCATGCCCCTGCGTTTGTTTTTTTCATTTTTGCAAGATAAAACAGAAATCAACAGTAAAACTTGGTGGAGGATGCGAGCAGGAGCAGCCTTTTTCTTTTGTGAATGTGGACAACTTTAAACCTTTTGGCATCTAAAGCAAGAGACTACTAACTAATCTTTTCTTTTTCCAAGGGGTTCACTAAAAGGAGTTGGGTGACAGCCTGCCGTGACCCTGTCGAGAGTCTCCATATTGACTGACGTACCTCAAAGTCGTGCATGACCCAAATAAAAGGTGTAACCAGACCTTTTGTATAAAATACAGAATTGTGCATATTGGTTTTTTTGTTTTGTTTTCCCCAAATTTAACTTTGTGAGTGTGCCAGACTATACATCCCCTTTAATGAGGCAGCAACTCATATATACACATCAAGTGTGAAGTATCCTTAAAAGTATTCTTATTTAAGTAACGAGTATTTATAGACATTAAATACTGAGGCAACAAGTAAAGGGCTAAGTTTTAACCCAGCTGTGTGTGCGTTTTATTTCTTAGCAAATAAGATAGATAGATATGATGTATCTCAGTGTTGAGTGGGTTGAACACCTGTGACTTTCTTTAGAGAAGTGCTATTTCCTGTTATATGAAACAGAAAAAGAATCATTTTTGCTGTTGAGAACCCCACCATGAAGATCTCTCTACTTTTCGTCCTGTTTGGTAAGTCTGTACACTCTTTATCTGTTCTGAATTCTTCTTGACGTTTGTGTTCTGAAGGTTAAATTCACTCATCAGGACTCAGTGGAGCACAGGGCCCAGTGTTCACAGCAACTGAAGGAGGAACTGTCACAGTGAAATGTCCGTTCAGTACATCTGGAAACAAAAAGACCCTATGTAAAAATGTCTGCAATCAAACAGCAGACTTTCTGATTCAGACGACTGGCAATCGTCGGAATAAGGGCAGATACAGCATTAAATATGAGAAGCGTTCTTCAGCTGCTTATTTATTAAAGGTGAGCATAAAAAAAGTGAAAAGATCTGATGCTGGAGAATACCGGTGTGTGCTGGAAAAGAATGGGCACGTTCTAGAGCTCTATAAATTCAATCTAAGAGTACGTGGTAAGTTGTATATACAGTATACAGTATATCACATGTTTTATCCTGGTGTTGTGTCTTACAAAATGCTCTTGTTTTGTTATTCCCAACAAAACCCTTTACAGACTCTTTCTTTACTCCTGCTCCGAGCTTGAGCCCACCTGGATATCAGCAGACTGCACCACTGTCAGGTCAGTCTACCCCAGGGCAGCTGTGGCTATAATAGTAGCTCACCACCCCCAAGTGTGGAGTGAATGAACAATGAACTGTAAAGTGTTTGGGTATCTTGAAAGGAACTATATAAAAGTGAATAATTAACAACCATAGACTGTGGAGTAATGGACTTTGCTTGCCCACTAACCGTCGTGTTCCAAATAAGAAGTGAGCGTGGGCGTGAGGCGGCTCCCTGAAGCTGTATTTGCAGCTGACTTCTCTGTAACTGCTGCTGTCTCGTCATTCTGACCTTTAAAATATACGCACTAAAATAAGATAATCCTTTATTGTCTCCCATGGGAGAAATTTATTTTGGGACAGTGGGGTAACATGCTTTATCAAAAAACAGGACAACACAACACAAAGCAGCACATAAACAAACACCATAGAACAAAGTAAATATGAGACCAAGTGTGACCACGAGTGATGCACCAACAGGACCTTTAAATTATTCTTAACAGGCAAGCCCTTGCATTCTTCTATTCTATTAATTATTGCACATTCCCTAAGTCTATGTGCAGTTTTGATTGCACATTCCCCTTGAGCCTATGTGCAGTCTAAGCTGCTCTACAGGATCCAATTTTATTTCACCATTTTGTATCTAAATCAAGATATGAACATTAAAAACTAGGGCTGGGATGAGACACAATGGGCCTCATTCATGAAACTTTCTTACAAACATTTCTGGCATTCACAAAACTTTCTCTTAACTGAAAATGGTCTTCTGGAAAAACAAATCCTATGAGCACTGGGTGAACAAAAATTCTACTGTTATATTATTTATTTATATCATATTATTTATTATCTATTGTTATATATATTATATTATTACTCTGATAATGCAAGAAAAAATTTCCCATAAATGTTCAATCACATAGTGTTGTAATGTCAGGAGTTTTCTAGAGACTGTGTCTATTGGGTCTAACAGATCTTCTCCCAGCTGCAGTGAGCTTCAGTCTGTCCAAGCTCCAGAGTATAAATCGCACCAGACAAAAAATGTGCAATGAAGAAGAAAAAAAACATATATAAGTCACACTTTTTGGGGAAATGTGTTTTTTAAAATCAGAGACCAAGAACCCACAATTCATCTTGAAAGGCAAATTATATTAATAATAACAGAATATGTTAACTGTTAATACATTAACATAACATATTAGCAGTTATTCAGATAATTAGAACATAAACAACAGAACATAAGTTTACCAAACTCACGATCTCACTCCAAATCACTAAATCCATTGAATTCTTCATCCTCGGTGTCACTTCTGCCTGACCTCCAGAGATAAACCATAAATCCATGAGGTAAACAGCGCGCCTTTACTCTTCTGTGTAGCTGTTGTCAGACTCATCATCAGTTCCTGTTAGAATTATTCTCACCTTTCTGAATCCCGACAGGATGGTTTTGATTGTCATTGAAGTTCAGGTTTTGTCGATTCAGCCAGTGACTTCAAGGAAAGTTGCATTGCTCACCCGCCCGGTTCCTGTGAAGCTGTGTTCTCCATCCCCACTTTCCATCAGTCCCTCACATGTTTCTTGCTCACTCCAAACTTTCTTTCTGCTGCTCAATTACTGTTTTCAGCTGAATATTTCACTATTTGCAGCGAGACTCTTTCTGCAGGAGACATGCGCAGTAGAGTGAAGTGACAGTGGGACAGGAGGAACAGGAGTAGTAGATACTCTCGCCGCTGTCAGTCTGAAAATGTTAATACACAAGTCACACTGGAGTATAAGTCACGGGAAGCACCCTGTCTTTTTGCTCACTTTGAGTTGATGCTCTGGCTGTATTGTACATTTTCGGGACAGCAGTCTCTGAGAATTAGGTTTTCCCTGGCAACTCGTATTGCTTGTAAATTTCTGAAGCGGTGACTTGAATGCTGGTTTCTCTACGGAGTTAACAGCACCACCTCCTCAACCAGGTACCATGTAACAGCAGTTATGTATGTCTGTCACTTCCAGTACTGTACTTGCAAACTCGAGCAAAGGCTTCGGTGACTCTAAGTTGTCGGCTGGCACCGGCTGCTGTTCTACTCTCTGTAGGTCGTGAGGGCGGCGTCAGCCATAGCCATTATAGTGGGATGGTAGCTTGCCAAGTGAGACAAGATGTGTTTCCTCCTTTTACTTGGATCTTTTTTAGGCAGATTTCGCTTCATCTGGTTTTGGAACAAACGCCTCTGCCATCTCTCCAGCTCTCACTGTGGCAGGCTGGGTCGTGTTGGTCATATGTGGTGAACGCAGTGGCCCAACTTGCACCATGGTGGACCTCTTAGTACTGCGGTGATTCATTTTTGCGGTTACTGTGACAGCTCTATTGCCAGTCAACCCCCTTTTTCAGCCACTGAACACTGAATCCTCGCTCCACTTGTTTCAGTGAATGATTTGCATCAACAAAGTGTGTTTTTTAGGTGATATGTCAGACTCGTGAAACTTCAGTGAAAAGACAGTTCAGTGTTGCAATGTTACAAATGATTTTGTCTGTGTCGACTGCACCCTCTTGAAGAACTTTAAAATGAAAATGACCATGTCAAAGTTTATCCCGTTTACTTTCACTCTTTTTTTCTGTGAGCGCCGCAGCAGTAAGAAACATTCTAGGCTCATGATGGACTTTCTCAAAATAAAAGCCAGTGAGCAACAGACATTTACAAAAAAAAAAAGAAAAGAAAAACATAAAAACTGCATTAAGGGGAGAAAAATAATTGTCAGTGATAATTAATTAGTTAACACAAAATTAACATATTAACATGCCCGGCCCTAGTTCTTTTGGATGAATATTGCGATTTAAAATGTCCAAAATATAACATAATGATCCTTGGGTGTCATAGATTATAACTACATAGCAGACACAAGCACTTCTTCTGTAAAAGTTTTTAGTCATGCTGCTATTGCTGATCTCATGTCTGGACAGGTGTTGTGCTGTACACAGGTCTGTGTCTGACAGCTGTGATCGTCCTCTCTGTCACGCTTTTCATTTGGTGCAGAATAAAGAGAGTCAATCAAACCAGAGGTGAGATATTTTGAAAAACTATGACAGTACATATGCCATTTTCTTTACACATTTTATTATCATGCTCCCACAGAATCTCCCGAGTCCCCAGAATACGCTCAAGTAGCAGAGGTGAGTGCTGAGTAAAGTGTTGACTGTAAATACAGATCTTCTTTTAGTCCCCTCAGCTAAACTATGAAAAGCTAATATGCACAATAAAGCATTCATTCCCATTAAGCTGACATCTTTTAAACAGTATTTACTCATCAGCTTACTTGATTTTTTGCACACCGTCATCCATGTGTGAAGTTGTAAATCCTGCACAGAAGCTTACTGCACGATGTTTTACAGAGTGGCAGAGTCTATGAGGAGATCCCAGCAGACAGAGCAGAGGTACGAACACACTCTCAAGTTTGTTTCTGATCAGGGGCCAGTCTGGGACGTTTTTATTGGTGAAATGTCCCCTTGTTTTGCATTAGTATGAGTTTGAGATCGCTCCTTCTCTCTCTGTCTCTATCTGCCAATGCATCTCGCCCCCGTCTGTGGAGTAGGCACCAATAGCACTACAGAGCTTCTTAGTTCTTCTTATTTATTGATTTGTAAAGAGACAGCACATTATTGCACACTTAATGAACATTTAAAATGTAAATATGTAAAGATTAATTTCCATCTTCAGTCCCTCGACAGGATGATGTGAAATTATCTACAGGACAAGGAAAAGTACTTCAACAATCACACAAAAGTAGATAAAACCAGCACACTCACACTTACTACACATACAACACACTTACTACACATACAACACACTTAGTATACATACAACACACTTACTACACATACAACACACTTAGTATACATACAACACACTTACTACACATACAACACACTTAGTATACATACAACACACTTAGTATACATACAACACACTTACTACACACAACACACTTAGTATACATACACACTACACATACACACACTTAGTATACATACAACACACTTAGTATACATACACACACTTACACACACACACTTAGTATACATACAACACACTTAGTATACATACAACACACTTACTACACATACAAACACTTAGTATACATACAACACACTTACTACACATACAACACACTTAGTATACATACAACACACTTAGTATACATACAACACACTTAGTATACATACAACACACTTAGTATACATACAACACACTTAGTATACCAGTGGTGGAGTGTGCATTTCACACCTAGGCCTTCAGTAGTGCTCTGTCTGAAACAATCCACTCCTCAAGAACTATTTCATGGTTACATTATACACAGTATAACGAGCCGTGGAGATTCCGTGCACGTAGAAGTGAGGAGTGCTGGGGTGCTAAACCAGAACTAAACCAGGACTGTTTGTCGGGACAAGCCTGAAGGTGCGCCAGCGTAGACTGTCAGTTGACTGTACACAAAAGGACCGTGCAGTGCCGGGGCCGAATGGGGCTCAGTGCAGGTGTCGCCCGATCGCGCTTTGCAGACACTCTCTCACTCTCTCTCGCTCTCTCACTCGTTCTCTCTCTCGCTGTTGCTCAAGTCCAAGATTAGTCCTGGTGTAGTCCTGGTTTAGACCTGGTTTAGACCTGGTTTAGACCTGGTTTAGACCTGGTTTAGTCCTGGTTCCGCTACAGATGCAGTTTGCTGCTTTTGGCTGCTTCGTTCTCTGTCCAATCAGTGGCTCTGAATCCAGTGACGTTGTGCACTGCTAGAGACCCTGACGACACCAACACAAAATCTGATTGGTTGAAGCAACAGTTTCATGGACATTTATTTTGTGTTCAAGGGCCTGCAGAACGCACTGTGAAGGCCTCAGGCACACTTCTTTGACTTTGACTCTGCCTAGCAACAAGTGGCGGTTGAAATGTGATTAGTCAAATGCTTTAATATGAAAATGCCTGTGTGGAAGCAGCACAACCATCGGATAAGCTCTGAAAGGATTTGAAAGGAACATTTGGAATTATTTAATAATAATATAATTAACATCACTCTGTGATTCAGATATTTTTTAGGCCAGCAGAGAAGGACATGCAGGTCCTGATGCTGAACCACTGTACTGTACACACATACTACACATACAACACACTCACTACACATACAACACACTCACTACACATACAACACACTCACTACACATACAACACACTCACTACACATACAACACACTCACTACACATACAACACACTCACTACACATACACACATACACACATACAACACACACACTACACATACAACACACTCACTACACATACAACACACTCTCTGTACGTACAATTTCATTACAACAGTTCATTTGAAGTTCTAAGTCAAGAGTTAAAAAGTTAAACCCAGCTTGGCTCTCAGACCCTCCTCTCTTTTTCTGTGCTAGAGTGCTAGATTTTGGATCTGCTCCTATCGACATAAAACACACTTTTAATAATTTATTACTCTGTTTTGTCACAAACATGTGACTACAGTCTGGATTAGACCAAACAGAAACACGAAATACAGAGTCAGATCAACAGGCAGTGTAAGTCACTTTGTAAAATATCAAATGTTCTACCATCTACTGTATATAGTGGAAATGATTCCATAGATGAAAGTAATTATGTTTAGGAAATATTTTAATGAGGAACCTACTACTAACCACAGGGAAAAAAACACTATAGAAGAGAGACAGAGAAGGAGAGAGTGAGTGAGTGAGAGAAAGTTTATTTTTAGTTTAGAATCCAGTTTAATACAGTAGTAGTATTAGTACAGTACCTTCTTAGTACCTAAGGACTGAGAAGCACTAAACAATCAGCCAGAGATAGACTGATATAGAGAAATAGAGAGAGAAGGATAAGAAAGAGTGTGTGGTGTGGTACGGTATTTTTGGCTCTGTCAAAGTAGCAGCAGAAGAAGAAGCTCTGTTGAGAATGGAACCATAACTTTACAAAGTCAAAAAGAGCCCTCTCCTCTCCTGTTGGCACAGTCTGAATGTCTCCCTTTATCAGTGTTTCTCACTTGTACAATTCTTTGTGTTTGCAATATTATTGTTATCATGCTGATGTAATCTCTCCTGTCCAGACTGGTGATTTGTCCAGTGCAGTCACACACCCTCAAGTGGATTTACCCAAATGCAGCAGCGCCCCCCGGTGCCCAACTCCTAGAACAGAAGAGGTTCCTCTGTACTCCACTGTGTGTTTACCACAGCAGTGACTGTGAAGTTTCAGAGCCACATGTTTATAACCAATCTTTATTTAATGTTTGCATCAGTAGAATTTATACTTAACAGAAGGAGATCTGAGGCACTCTCATTTACAGTAAAAGTCCTTTATTTAGGCAAAGAGGACGAGCCGATGTGTTTTGAACACCAAAGTGGGTTTCTTTGTTCCAAATATGAAGATTTAAAAATCCACCAGGGCCCTTAGATATAAGAACATGGTCACGTGAGGTGGGAGGATCTGATAACATTTATGAGAAGATTTCTAGAGCATGTGTTTATTAACTCTAATAGACTTTCTGGTCTGTCCCAGCCCCAGTGCCTCCATATGTACCTCTGTCACAGCCCTGCACCTGCTCATCACACTGGACTCATCACCCCCATCACCCCCCTGACACCCCCATGACCAGAGCACACTCTAATGCAACTCTACTTCAGCCCCCCTCCCTTGCTATTTACCACGGATCGTGGAAATAAATGTGACCATACACGATAAATACGAAGATAAATCGACTGAAGCTGTAAAACAGCCGTGATCTGTAGACCCGCATCACCTGATCTCCTCATCACTCTCCCTCACACTTTCACGCTTCATAACACCAAACCCATACTGGCCATATTTGGAAGTTCAGAAAGTGTTTCTAACCAAATACAGATTTTTTGTTTTATGTAAATTCTATGTAAATGTAAAGTGGAGGTGTTGGTGAATTCAGAGCAGCTGTCACTTCAGAAGGAATTTGTCTGTGTAAGAAAGCTTTCTGAATCTGGCACAATGTCCTCTCAGCATCTTCTTAAAGTTGAAGTTACAAAAAGTTTTAAGGAAAAGATTCATGAATGAGGCCCATTGACTTTACTGTCTTTCTCTGCACAAGCACCAGACCTCCTCAGACAGAGTCCTGGTTTTTCAAAATGAAACGTCTCTTGGAGACAAACACGCTCCTCTATATAATGTTCCTGCTTGTCAGTCTTTGTTACACTTATAATCAAACAATGCACATTCTCCAAGAGTTTGTCCCACTCAGACCTTGGGATGGTGCAGTGTATGTGCCAATATGAGTTTGATGAGCTCCTTTGAATTAATGGATTTACACTAATAAATACATTTCTTCATAATGAATATAACTGTAAGCCTTTGTGGGTACCCACTTCTATTAGTGTACACACTGAAGGTCATATAGATACAACTATGAGTAGATTGTCCTTTATGTTGCTGTTTCTTCACAGGTCCTGTATGTCTCCTCTGTGAGGTCATCGTGTTGTTGTACTGTGTTGTATTGATGTGTGTGTTTTGTGATGTGGCGGTCACTTGGCCTCACATGACCACCTCACGTGACCATGCTGATTTTGGTGGAATGTTAAATCTTGTTCAGTGAATCAGATTTGGCCTGAAGAAAACCACTTTGATGGTCACAACACATTGGCATGTCCCCTTTGCCTAAATAAAGGACTTTTGGTGTAAGTCAGAGTTTCCTTCTATAGTCTCTTCACCTCTGGATCCTTGACTAGATCAGCAGTGATGCACTCACCCTTCATGTTTGTTGTGAAATAAAGGGCTTGTCATATATTTTCATTTATAACTATAGTAACTATTGTGTAATCTGTTGAGTTTTAGCTACATATATATTATGGTTAGTTAAGAAATTACCTCATCTCATGTCTCATCTGCTGCCATAAATAGCTTTCAGGATATACAGAGCAGCAGCTTGTTGTGTTTTCAGCATTCAGCATTTATTAGAAATTGTGGTGGTTAGAGTGGCACTGTGTAACTTTTCAGTAGGAGGCTTATTGTTTTGCCTAGAAAGTTCCACAGTAAATGAAAACATACCATTCACCATGTAGAAAAACTGATGACAGCACCAGACCACATGATTACATATCAGATCAGTTTTTTTAATGTCTTCAGGGGGTTACAGCATTATAACATCACTTAAAGTTCACACAAATCCATTTTGCATAATATTGGACGTTTAAATTATTATTGTAGTGCAACCATTTTTAGGTTATGCATATTTCATTGGGTAAACACACTTCAGTTTTCAATTTGAACCATTTCTGAGCCTTCTTTGCTTGTGGCTAACTTTGGTAAAAAGAAACAGAAACCATGAGTTTTGATGCTATGGTTTCACTTATTACTACTTGTTTCAATAAGTGACGTAACAATAAGTGTAAAATCATGATATCATATTGTCAAAAGTCTCACAAAAATATCAGAGGTCATCATAATATTTCAAATTACAAGTCTCTTTAATAGCTATGGTGATTTTAATGTCTTTCTTATTCTGTAAAGCACTTTGAATTATTTTGTGTATGAATTATGCTTTACAAATAAACTTGCCTTGCCTTGCCATGATGCAGCAATAGCTAAAACCAGAGGGTACTACATAAACCATGATCCTTTGGTGTTGTCAGTGCGGACTACATGAAGAAGTAGCTGTTATTAAAGGGACAGTCTGGAATTTTGGACATAGGGCCTCATTTCCTAGTGAGCCAGAGTGCTGGAGACGTGTGGAGACACATTTTGAAATATTCCATCCAGTCCTTGTATTTGCAGAGGTCACTGGTGCTAGGCTAGTACATGTCAATGGCCATAGTTAGCCTGCCACTAAAAACAGTCTCCACAATACACCCGGGGCAAAACAATTATAACACCAGCCTGTCGATGTAAATGTATGTGTCAATAGAATAATTTAAGTAAAACCAACCTTGCATTTGAAGGATTTATGATCATCAGCAGCGAGTTGTACTTCCTGATAGAAAGCTTGGCAGCGGCGGACTGATATATGAGTAAAAATAGTCCCTCAGTGTGTGACGATTTATGCGATGCAAAGTTAGTTTTATTTCAAATATTATTCTATCAACACAGATATTCACATCGACAGTCTGCCATAATGATAGATTTGCTTCGGGTGTTTTGTGGAGTGGGTAAGACTGTTTTTAGTGGCAGGATAACTATGGCCATTGACATGCACTAGCCTAGCACCAGCGACCTCTGCAAGTACAAGGACTGGATGGAATATTTTAAAAAGTGTCTCCACACGTCTCCAACACTCTGGCTCACTAGGAAATAAGGCCCTATGTCCAAAATTCCGGAGTAAAGTAGAATTTTGTAAGCATCCACAAAATATTGCTTTAAATATTATGTAATCGTGAACATATCGTAATTGGGATTTTGATATCGTTACATCCCTAACTTTTTCCACCCTCAAAGAAACACTCACCTTCATACACCAGTGTACACAAGACACTACGATGGGTTAAGTTTTGTGCCCAAGGACACAACAACAGCATTCATCTGTGGGAGGTGAAATCACACCACCAACCTGTGAGTCAGTGGATCTGATTCAAACCACCAACCATCAGATCAGTGACAAACTCTTTACCAACTGAGCTACTGTCGTGCGTAAAGTTGATGACTAATGATGAATGATGAACACTTATACAGCGTTAGTGGTTTTAAATAAATGCTAAAAACAAACTGACTGAAAGATATATTAAGACTTTATAAATCCAAAAGTAACAAATGTATTCACCTTATTCTGGAAGTTGCCGTTGGCGCAGTCATCATGATTCAGGTTGTATTATTTTGTAAGGGGTAAGTTCGATATGTACGATAAAGTTGTTTTATATGTGGTTATTTTTGTCTCATTAATATTTACAAATACACAGATGGTGATTTACAAATAGTCATTGGTTTGTACATGTGTTTTGATCCACAAATGCAAATTTAATATGTGTAACTTGTATTTTGGACTTTACAAATTAATGTGTATTTGTAAATATATCTTTTTTTCATTTGCAAAAAAAAATATTTCATTTGTAAAACTGAAAATTTTGTTTGTAAAATGTGATTTGCATTTGTGGGTCACCAGTTACACAAATCCACCAATTTCTGGTATGACGTAATTTTGAGACACTCATTTGGAGAAATCCACAAACTCAGACAGATCCACAAATAGGCTACATACATGTTCTTGAGCAGCAGGGGGCAGCAGCTGGCACATGAAACATTTGACACTGCTGAAATGGAAGTGTCTCTCACTAATTTAACGTCACTTACATTATCAAATGCCTCAACAGCTGAGGACTAAACCAGAACTGAACCAGGACTGAACTAGGACTAAAACAGGACTAAACCAGAACCAAGTGTCTGAACAACCCAGAGATTAATCCTTTTTTAGACCTGTTTTAGTCCTGGTTCATTTCTAGTTTAGTCCCGTTTTAGTCCTGGTTCAGTTTTGGTTCAGTCCAGGTCAAAACCAGGACTAATCTTTGACTTGAGAGAGAGAGGGAGGGAGGGAGGACCCCGAGCTGTGGAGCACGGTGTCCCCAAAGTGAGTTCTGGGGACGGCTGTGGTTAGCTCCGGGGGGCGTGGAGCTCTGAGCCAGTCCTTTCACCCGCGGTCACCCGACGGTCGGCACGGGCACAACTCTGGGTCGTTCAGGTTCTGGTTTAGTCCTGTTTTAGTCCTAGTTCAGTCCTGGTTCGGTTCTGGTTTAGTCCTCAGCTGTTGAGGCGTTTGATAATGTAAACATTAGCCTAAGTGATGTCAAATTAGCAAGAGACACTTCCATTTCAGCAGAGTCAAATGTTTCATGTGTCAGCTGCTGCCCCCTGCTGGTCAACTATGTGTCTGTATTTGTTTCTGGATTTCTCAAAATGAGTGACTCAAACTTACATCATACTGGAAATTGGTAGATTTGTGTAACTGGTGATCCACAAATGCGAATCACATTTTCCAAACTGAATTTTCAGTTTTACAAATGAAATTATTTTTTACAAATGAAAAAATATACATTTACAAATACACATTTATTTGTAAAGCCCAAAATACAAGTTACAAATATTAAATTTGCATTTGTGGATCAAAACACATGTACAAACCAATGACTATTTGTAGATCACCATCTGTGTATTTGGGAATATTAATGAGACAAAAGTAACTCCATAGTTTTAAAGCCCCGTAGAGAATCGATGCAGTGTTTTCTTGTTTGTAACATGAACACTGAACACAAATTACACAAATGAACAGACTTGATGTCGTGTTGAAGATGCAAAACCCAAATCCTCTTGTTATGAATGGGATCCCTGTTTAACCAAAAGTGACACCTCAAAAAAGTGTGCTTAAAGACAAAAGTATGCGGGGCTGAATAAGATGGATAATATGTTCACTTTGATTCCACTTGCAGATGGTGGACAGCTCCAGTTCTATCACATACACTAAAGAGGATTTCTACAACTGCAGTTTTACAACTCGCTTTATGCAGTGTTTTGTAAATAATTAGAATAGATTTAAGATGTTAAAGTTACAGATGGGGTCAAATTTATTTTATTTTTTTATTTTTTAGCTTTCTACCATGTTATGTCTTCAAAAACATGCCTAAAGAGGTTTTAAATCTCATCCATGCATGTTTCAGTAATCTAGCGATCTCTCCCGGGCCCTTTTCAAACCCTCCTTACTGTTTACTGTAAGATCAGACGTAAGCTCCGCCCACAAGCCTACGCCACCCGTGTTCCCACTTGAAAATTCACCATAAATACACAAAAACATGATACAAACGTGTACACAACAACTTGACAAACCTGATGTGATGTGCTGTAGTTTTTGTGACAGTGAAATGAAATGTTAATATGTTATTTTCGGCAAATATAAAATGTAACATGTTGATCTAAATATGTCATGTGTTATAAGTTAATACCCCATAGATGTAAATGACCCTCTTTTTAAAATGAAGTATATATGCAGTGTTGGGAGTAACAGATTACATGTACCAGAGTTACGTAATCAGAGTACTAATTATGAGTAACTGTATTCAGTTACAGTTACTGTTTCAGTGAGTGGTAATTGGATTACAGTTACTTTGTTGAAATAAATGGATTACACAGAGGTATTTTCCTGTTTTCACATTTTGAGCTATATCCCTTTTTTTTTTTTTTTTTTTGGTAATTCTACTCATTGCTGGACACTAAACGAGGTCTAAAACCAGGTCCAAACCAGGTCTAAACCTGGAATAAACCAAAACCAACTAAACCTAAAAGGACTAAAACCAGACTAAACCAGGACTAAACCTAAACCAGGTAAAACCAGGACTAAACCAGGTCTAAAACCAGGACTAAACCAAGACTAAACCAGGATTAAACCCGGACTAAAATCAAGACTAAACCAGGACTAAACTAGGACTAAAACCAGGACTAAAACCAGGTCTAAACCAGGTCTAAAACCAGGTCTAAACCACTAAACAGGACTAAAACCAGACTAAACCAGGACTAAACTAGGACTAAACCAGGACTAAAACCAGGACTAAACCAGGACTAAACCAAGACTAAACCAGGACTAAACTAGGACTAAACCAGGACTAAAACCAGGACTAAACCCAGGACTAAACCAGGTCTAAACCAGGACTAAACCAAGACTAAACCAGGACTAAACCCGGACTAAATCAAGACTAAACCAGGACTAAACCAAGACTAAACCAGGACTAAACTAGGACTAAACCAGGACTAAAACCAGGACTAAAACCAGGTCTAAACCAGGACTAAACCAAGACTAAACCAGGACTAAACCCGGACTAAATCAAGACTAAACCAGGACTAAACTAGGACTAAACCAGGACTAAAACCAGGTCTAAACCAGGACTAAACCAGGACTAAACCAGGACTAAAACCAGGTCTAAACCAGGTCTAAAACCAGGTCTAAACCAGGACTAAATCAAGACTAAACCAGAACTAAACTAGGACTAAACCAGGACTAAACCAGGTCTACACCAGGACTAAACCAAGACTAAACCAGGACTAAACCAGGACTAAACCAGGACTAAACCAAGACTAAACCAGGACTAAACCTGGACTAAACCAAGACTAAACCAGGACTAAAACCAAGTCTAAACTATGTCTCAAACAGGATTTAACAGGACTAAATCCTGCTGTGTGGTCGTGTTTCCTCGTCTTCTATCAATAATATGTTTAATTTGGTTCAGTAAAGTCTGGACTTTTTAATTTTCTTTTAGCAGATAAAACATCTTATGTGAAGATTTCCTCGTCTTTGCTTCTCTACAGCAAATCAAGTAATCCAAAGTATTCAGATTACGTTACTCACTTTAACTCATTTAATGGATTCCGTTACAAACTACATTTTGGGGTCTGTAATCTGTAATCTGTAGGGGAATACATTTTAAAAGTCACCTTCCCAACACTGAGTATATGAATGGAGAACGTGTCAAAGTCAGAAATATTGGAATTAATAAAACGTGCCAAAGTCATTTAGAGTTGAGACATGTTCTTGTGGTTTGTAGAGAAGAAAGGGAGGAGGCTGAGAAAGAGGAAATAGTGACGTGTGTTTTACAATAGTGATCAGATTTATAAAACACACAAACTCCCTGGTGAAATTTAAACTAACTGTAAATTCAAAGCTCCGACATGAAAATCGCCTTCACATTTGTTCTGTTTCTGGGTAAGTTTACTCTTAAATATTAATTCTGTGTTTTAATAAGAAACAATATGGTTCTATTTTTATATTTTATTTTTTATTTCATTTTATATTTTTTATCAAACCTGTTGAAATTTCTTGGACAGTGCTTTGGAGTGGAAGACCAGGATTCACCAGAGAAATCGATGTTTTTGAAGTTAAAGAAGGAGACGACTTCAGAAAAAAATATGTCTTTCAAAAATATGGAAACTGGAAATACTTTTGTCGAAATGACTGTGAAAAAGAGAATATTTTGATTAAGACCTTTTCTAACGAAGAAGATAACGGCCGATACAGAATTGAATTTAAGAAGCGTTTTTTTGATCCCAGTGAGATGTACGTGAGCATCCGAAATGTGACACTGTCTGACACTGGAACATACAGCTGCGGTTTGGAAACATGGCATGAATACAAATTGGTATATCTACATGTGGATTTCATTATTAATGTCTCAAGTGGTAAGTTTATTCACAAATATTTGAATTACTGCAGGCTATAACAATTAAAATATTTTATTCTCCAACTCTAATTGAAAAGGACATTGTAAGTTATTTGTTTGATCGTACAGACGTATAAACAGACTGTGTCATATGTATTCTGTCTCCAGTTGTGAGGTCCAATCATTCTCCAGGAGTTCTTTCCCCTGAGACCCACAGTGAACCTCATGAGGACCACACCCCACTGTCCAGTACGTCCACACTTCACTCTCTCTCAGTGGATGAATATCGCAATTTTAAATGTACAAATTCTAACATAATAATCCACGGGTGTCGTAGACAGTGTTGGGAAGGTGACTTTTAAAATGATTACAGATGACATACCCCAAAATGTAGTTTGTAACATAATCTATTAAATTACTTAAAGTGAGTAATGTAATCTGAATACTTTGGATTACTTGATAATGTCATGCTTTTTAAAACTATATGAATGTAGCAACTACATCCTGAAAATTCTTGTTTGTTCTCTTCAGACTGTCTGTTGACCCCAAGTCTCCATGAACAGACTTTTGTTTTACTGTAGAGAAGCAAAGACTTGGATATTGTAACATAAGATGGTTCGTCTGCTAAAAAAATAAAAAGCCCAGACTTATTAAACATATAAAAAATATTACTGATAGAGAAATGATTTTTATATGAGATCACTGCTGCTTTAAATTATGTCCACACTACTGTTCGGTGTCATATTGTTTAGACCTGGTTCTAGTCCTAGTTTAGTCCTGGTTAAGACCTGGTTTAGTCCTGGTTTTAGTTCTGGTTTTAGTCCTGGTTTATCCCAAAACCTGAAAACAGGAAAATACCTCTTTGTTATCCATTTATTTCAACAAAGTAACAGTAATCCAATTACCTCTCACTGAAACAGTAACTGTAACTGAATACAGTTACTCATAATTTGTACTCGGATTACATAACTCCAGTACATGTAATCTGTTACTTCTCAACACTGGTCGTAGATTATAACTGTACAGCAGACACGAGCACAATATGTGTTCTGTAAGGTGAGGAGCAGGAGAGGGTGTAATGGCCTAATGTGTAACTTTACTCCACTTTTCTTGTTGATCAGACTTACACCTCTGACCAGTGTTGTGCATGAATGAGTTCAAAAGAACAGGTTCATTTTTCAGTGAACTTTGAACTCAATGCAACACATTTGTAAATGAAGAACTTGAATTTGACTTTATTCAGACTATGTGAGATGAAGGACGTACGTCACTGTTGGGGTTCAATTAAACATCAGAATTTGTTTTCATCTGATGAGTCGAGTGAAAAGGTCTGCTCGCACTTTTTAAACTGCATGTTGGCCTGTCACTCACTGCTCACGAGCTCCTCCACTCAAAAACTGCACAGCCTCACCAGAGAGCGCCTGTATGTGCAATACATCTTAGTTCACATAGTGTGAAGTAGGGATGTTGTAAAGCTGTTGTAAACTGTAAATCAGTTTGAAAAAATAAGCTCAACCTTTCATTTACATATCTCAACTAAAAATAAAATGAAGTTTGAACTAGTTCAAAAGTAAAAGTGTAAACTATGAACATGAACAGTTAAACATGTGTGAACTGAACTTTGAACTAGTTCAAGAAAAGTGTGAACTTGCACAACAGTGCCTTTGACTTACTCTTCTGTGTGTGTGTGTGTGTGTGTGTTGTTCCAGAGGTGGCGCTGTACGTAGGACTGAGCCTGAGCGCTCTGCTCATCCTGTCAGTGACACTCACCTCACTCATACTGTACAGGAGAAAGAGAGCGAGAACAACACCAGGTCACACACCTGCAGCTCACAGCAAAGTCAACATGTGGACTTAAGTCTGAACTTATATGTGTGTTTGTGTTCCCACAGGAGCTCCTGACATCCCAGTATACGCTCAAATACAAGAGGTGAGAGTTCTGAACATCCAGATTTCAAGGTTTGGTGGGATAGTACATGTGGTAAATATTTATTACAGTTTTACATCAGTTTAGTGTCAATTTGAGGAGAAAAGTAGAAAAACACAAAAATACAGGAAGTAGCAGTGAGTTTTAAAACAGAATTCCATCCAAAATGCAGGAACAATTTAGGATTTTTTATTTTTTATTTTATTTAATTTTTTGACAGTCAAAATGTGTATATCCTCCTGAGACCATTCATTTGTGTCCTTTATAGTGGGAAATGAGTTAACCAGTCTATCTTTTAAGTAAATGTTTTTAGATAGACTCTTAATGGGGAGACTCTGCCTAAATAGGGCTGGAGGATTATAGGGTAAAAAAAAAAAAAAAAAAACTCAATAGGTGTTAGTTTGTGGCTTGACTATGTTTTAAAAAATATATATATAAAAAAAAGAAATTAAAAGGGAGTCTAAAAACTTTTTGAGGCGACCGTAGAAGCTTGTCAGAAATGTTGGTCATCAAAAAAGTAAGAAGTTGCTTTTGTTAGGTTATTAACTCCACATGGATTTAACACCAAAATGTCCTTGGCGTCCATTACAGAGGACAAGTAACAAAATTATAAATAAAAATAAAATGAATAAAATCTAAATGCTAAGGTGTCCCAGGAGCATATAGTGAAATAAAGGTGGTGTCATTTTTGGTTAATCTAATCATAACTATGGTTGCTAGGTAACAGGAACACTAAAGTGACTCTTGTAAATGTTAAACCATGTTATAATGCCTCCTTAAAAACAGACCTGGAGTTGTGCTTTGTTTCATTCACACACGTTTGGATAACTCTTTATGATTAGTCTGTCCACATCTGCAAAGCTCAAAATCTGATGAAGTGGTAGTTTTCAAGTTAACAGCTACGTTTTACACTTTGTCCAGTAGAGATTTGGCAATTCCAGGGCGGAAATGATCCAAATGCTTCTAGTAAAGGTGTATGGAGCAATGCAGCGGGACACTTCTTGTATTACCACATGACATTACAAGATGTTTGAGAAAAGAACTCAGTAACACTTTATAATAACTACACCTTATTTAGCCTTAATAAAGCATGAACAAAGACTTAATTAATAATGATTCACACTTAGTAACGACTTAATTACTTCCTGAATTAGAACTTAACTTACACTTAATTCACCTGTGCTGTAAATAGTTACTCATAAGTATTTCTTACTTAATTACTCATGAACTAACCATTTGTGTGTGCATTTGTAAATGTATATTTAAGTTCACATTTGTGCATTTATTAATGATTAATAAGCCATGAGAGAATGATTTACTAGTAATGCATTATTGTTTCTCTGGAATTTGACCAACTTTAACAAATGTTTAATAAAGCATAATTCGTCTTCACTTTAGAAAAGCTCTCAGAAAGACTTAACTAACAGATAACAGCTGCCTGAATGATCATTGTATTATTACTAAATCATTCTCTCATAACTTACTAATCATTAATAAATGCTCAAATGTGAACTTAAATATGCATTTGTAAACATGCAAACGGTTACTTCATGAGTAATTAAGAAGTACTGAGTAACTATTTACAGCACAGGCGAATTAAGTGCAAGTTAAGTTCTAATTCAGGTAGTAATTAAGTAGTTACTAAGTGTGAATCATTATTAATTAAGTCTTTGTTCATGCTTTATTAAGGCTAAATAAGGTGTAGTTATTATAAAGTGTTACCAAGAACTCAGCCTAAATGTGCAGGGTTTTTTGTGTTAAACGTGTGAATGAAACAAAACAGATCAGCTCATGGGCCCCTTCATTTGATCCACATTTTGGCAGATTTTTGCACTTTCTTTGTTTTTTTCTAATACATTGATCATTGTTTTTTGATTCCAAGATCTGACCTCCAACTATGTATGGCCCCGTTTACACGTACACGGGTATTTTTAAAAACAGAGACATTTCCCTTCGTTTGTTCACATCTTTTACACACTAACGGCGAATTTGCCTCTGAAAAAGAATCTTTCTAAAAACTCCGGCTAGAGTGGAGATTCTGGAAAACTCCGGTTTCACATTTGCGTGTAAAATGAGATAAATGGAGTTTTAGGAGCTGACGTGTCGTAAGTGCGACCAACCTTTTGCTACGGTGATGACAGTGTGCGAAATACAAGGGGTGCGGGGTCCGACACCCCCGATTAATCCATCACACCCCCTAAAAAGCTTCAAAAGGAAAATTTTGTTAATATATATGTATAGATATAGTCCAGACGCCATCCCATATGAACCTGGACAGGGTCAGACTAATGTTCCCAATGTTCCTCCAATAGCGAAAGGAATTTATGTTCCCCGTTAACACCGCGGGCAGTGTGGGGGAGTAACAGATTACATGTACTGGAGTTACGTAATCAGAGTACAAATTATGAGTAACTGTATTCAGTTACACTTACTGTTTCAGTGAGTGGTAATTGGATTACAGTTACTTTGTTGAAATAAATGGATTACACAGAGGGATTTTCCTGTTTTCACATTTTGGGCTTTTTTTTTTTTTTTTTTTTTTCCGTAATTCCACTCATTGCTGGAAACTAAACCAGGTCTAAACCAGGACTAAAACCAGGTCTAAACTAGATCTAAACCAGGACTAAAACCAGGTCTAAACCAGGACTAAACCAAGACTAAAACCAGGCTTAAACTAGATCTAAACCAGGATTAAACCAGGACTAAACCAGGACTAAACTAGAGCTAAACCAGGTCTAAACCAGGTCTAAAACACGTTTTAACAGGATTTAACAGGACTAATTCATGCTGCGTGGACGTGTCTCCTCCTCTTCTATCAATACTATGTTTAATTTGGTTCAGTAAAGTCTGGCCTTTTTATTTTCTTTTAGCAGACACAACTTCTTATATGAAGATCCTAGTCTGTGCTACTTTACAGCAAATCAAGTAATCCAAAGTATTCAGATTACGTTACTCACCTAAAGTAATTTAATGGATTATGTTACAAACTACATTCTGGGGTGTGTAATCTGTAATCTGTAGGGGATTACATTTTAAAAGTCACCTTCCCAACACCGACCGCGGGCCTCATCTCAAATTATCACCATGAACTCATAAAACAGCAGCATGTAGCCTAGAATTTTGTACAAACTCACTGCACATCAGCCCGGTGCAGAAGCTCTGAGTTCGGGCAACAGCGTTAAACACACGGGAGCATTTGCACACACAGCTGATGAATCATATCCATGAGCAGAGAGGAACAAGGGCTCGGAGGTCAGTGATTCTGCCACTTGTTTAACATATTTGTGGAGAGGTGAGCCCGCTCACTAATGCACGTTATTCAAGGTATTTTTGAGTAAAATTTAAAACTGCAATGAAATAAATGCTACAGGTTTGAATCTAATCCAGGTGCCGCCCAGAGACTCCGTGTTGTTCTGACAGCGCTCGATGGCGTGTTTATGCAGGCTGATGTAAACCAGGGGTGCTCAATACGTCGATTGCGATCTACCAGTCGATCGCCAAGGTGTCTCGTCTCGGACTCGCGTTTGGACTGTTAGGTATCCTCAAAAAACCATTAAGCGTGTTCTCTTAAAAATAACCACTGGAATTGATCGATTAAAATCAAAAAGAATTTATTCCCTAAACAATACAATTCTAATCCAGAGCTCTGGGTCAGATCGTTACCCCTGACTGCCTACGGCTACACAGGTCTTAAATCAGGCAAATCTGGACGCCTCTGAATACCTCAAATCAGATTTTATAGACATCCATATGAATATGCAAATAATATTTTGAACAGGTAACGCCTTGAATCTTCCTTGGAGTATCTCTGCATTCCTTTAGGTTTAGGGAGTTGACAGCAGCCTAATGCAAATCACCAGTTTGTTTAGTATCGCACCAGGCCGAACCATCTCCACTGCTGCTGCTTTACAATGAAATTCCTTAAAAGGACACAGCCTATGTGCAAAGGATTACTTTAAAGTATACATGTTTCACATAGTGGTACCTTTAAACATACATGAGATTTCAGTGGTTAAACAACTCAATGTGTAATAGTCTAACAAATATATAAATTCAATGTTTAATATGCACATGTGATGCACTCAAGAAACTTCACCATTTGGTACAGCCTTCAGGACTCGGTCTTGTCTCTCACTCGAGGTCTGACACTCAACAAGTGTGATCATATTTCATTCCGGCCGCTGCTGTTGGTAATAAACTTGTAGCGGGTGCAGGAGCGTGTGGGGCGTCTCAGTGCAGCCTGTGCGCTCATTTGAAACCCGCGGAGACTCTACACATCACAAACACACACGCTCCCTATGCACGGCTCGTCTGCGACAGCGTGTGCCCTCGTGTACCAGCGTGCATCACAGGGCAGGTTCAACTTCCTAAACATCCTACCTGTCCATCTGCCTCACGTCAGCACGCCGCCCCTCGCCTTTTCACGCTCTCGCTCCTTCCTGCGTACAGCGAACACAAGCCCCTCCCACAGTGCGGCTGATTAGAAGAACAAGACCAAACGTGAAGCAAAAACCAGTCTAAATTTGTGTTCCAGTGTTGACACAAAGCAGGTCTACAGCATAGAGCGGATCTACAGAACAGACCTACTGCCACATTTGGCTGAAGTTTGTCTAACAAAAGTGACAAATGCATCTGTGTTTGTCACGATGTGCGTTTGGTTTGGTAAATGTGCAGAGGCTGGTAAATATCACTGCAAAACCAGAAAAGAATGTAACTCCAGTGTGAAACTTTAAAAAACAGGTTTAAAAATCTTACCTACTTCCTTCACTTTTTTCACAGTTTTGTGTAAAGTGAAATATTTGTTTCTCAAAATACCCGGCTGTGTGTAAACGTAGTCTATGTCATATCTGCTGGCCATTCAACCAAGAAGTAGAATTATAAACACCAAAATGTAAAAACTGTGGGAAAGAAGAGTCATGGATTTATTCCAGTGACATTCCTATACTAACTTGCCACATGGACTTTTTATTTCTATTTTGCAGAGCCCCTGCGTGTATGAAGAAGTCGCAGTAGACAACAGACAAAGCAGAAGAGCTGTTGAAGAACCGTCCTACACCACACACTCATATAACATCTACAGTCTGTGCTCTGGTCCTGTTGGACCTCAGGTAAAAGACTCATCACTTTACATCATTCATTCATTTTAGACAAACACAATGCATAGAGGTTTTCTTTTAGGCATTTGTCTAACTTAGATGAAAAGGAACAGGAACCATCACTTCTGTAATCATGAGTACATATTGATGTCTCAAGAGGAAGTTCACACATTGACTTTTTGACACTATACTACGTGGTTCCTTGTTGCAAAGCGCGAGTGCCTTGAAGGTGGAAAAGCACTATAGAAAAATGTGACCATTTACCATTTACATACACACTAGACTATACCAAACCCAGCCTCCAACCAACTATTTAAACATCAGAGTAGAACCCTTTAACCTGGTCTGTCAATTCTTGATACACAATGTCCAAAAAGCAACAAATATGTCATTTGGTGGTTTCCATCTCAGGCCTGACAGATTTTTCCAGTCCCTTCCTGAAACTATATGTGGTTGTCAAGTTCCATAGGTAAAACTCCTGTTAACACAATCAAACAGATCCATGATATCCCCAAGCAACATGGAGAAAAGAGCCCATGGTCCCTGGGGAACAGAGCGAAGAGTAAGGACCAGAGACCAGCCCCATCTTCTACCTCATAATTGTGTTAAATCTGCTCTATGCTGATATTTTACATGAATGTACTCACTGGTTAGACTTTATCTTTTCAACATGACGCCAAATGGTTTCTCAGTTTAAAGGTGTGTGTAACATTTCTCTCTCTCATGCTTTAGTCTCCACTCAGGATATTATATTGATCATATAGAAATGACACGATCCTTTTGGAGCAGCTGGAACATCTCAGAGACTGACTGATCACTCAGCTCTGATGCCCACAGAACAACACACAACACAAGTATTTGGAAAATATATTTTTAGAGCATTAAGGACCTTTAAGTGTAGCAGTGTTAGTAACTAGAGTGTAACTAGTGTTACTTTTACCAGTAACAAGTAATGTAAGTAAAGACTCTTTCCTCTGCAGTAACTGTTATAGTTACTGTCAATGTAACGGACTTGTTATTTTACTGTGAGACAGATCAGACTGAGAGCTCTTGTCTCATTCAGAGGAGCTGCAAAGTTTTTCCTTTGTTTTGGAAAATAATAAGATGAGACAAGTGATCAGAGACAAAGAGACAATTGGTCAAAACAGAGATGGACTGTAAATGTGACCAGTGTGGACACAGTGTGCTGTGTAAAGGGGACAGCTGTTTGCCCTGTGCTGTTGTGACTAAACAACTGTGAGTGTGAGTTGGTGCTTTTAAGCTCTGTGAAAAGAACAGCTTCTGTCACACAGTAGCCCAATATTGTCTTTAAGTCATGTTAGATTGTTGTTATAATCAAAAACATAGTTTGAGTTGTGTTTTGTTTCATTGTTTAATATTTATTATTAGTCTGTCTACATTTCCAAAGCTCAAAAAGCTCTGTTCCACCTTGTGATGTCATGAAGTGGTAGTTTTCATGTAAACTGCTCCTTTTACCTTTAGTTCAGGAGAGACTGACAATTCCAGGGCTGAAATTAAACAAATGTCTGGAGAAGGTGTTTAAAAAGTTTAAAAACACAGAGGAGCATTTGCTGTACTAAATCATGACATCACAAGGTGGAACAGAGTGTTTTCTGTTTGAGTAATGAACATAAATCAGAAAAGAGCATAATATAAACCTTTTATATCCCACACTGATAATATTCTGTATGTTCCACTTGCAGATGGCAGACAGCTCCAGTACACTCACATACACTCAAGTGGATTTCTCCAAACACAGCAGCGCCCCCTGGTGTCCAACTGCCACAACTGAAGAGGCTCCTGTGTACTCCACCCTGTGTTTACCACACAGTGAATAACTCTGTAATAATAGTGTCAGTCTTTTAGTTAGTGCTCTGATGCTCTGTTAGATTTTGTGCTTCATTGTTTAGAATATTTTGATCAGCTTTAACTTGAAGTACATTGAACTGCTTTTCATGTTTTTCTATTAATGACTTTGGTGGGATAGTACCTGTAGTAAATATTTAGTTTTACTTCAGTGAAATGTGAAAAAATGAAAAGAAAAGTACAAATATACTGGAAGTAGTGCTGAGTTCTCTGTTATATGACATTTAAAATAAAAGGTTAAGTTATATTTTAATCAAAACAGAATATTGCGAATAAGACTTTTTCTTTATACATTATTTAATTGGTACATTTATAGGGCAAGAGGAAGGACATTATGGCAACATAATTTAACTCTTTCTGAGCCGTCTTGCCTAACATCTAGGCTCCCAGTGCATGTGCCAATTAACTGTTTTTTGTTTTGTTTTGTTTTGTGTACTTAGTGAAGTGACTGCAATACATTCATATCTGTTTTTATTCTATTGTCTGTATCTGTCTGTTTAATGTTTATGCACCTTGCACTTTGTGTCAAAGACACATTTCTCCTGGTGAGACAATAAATGTATCTTATCTTTAGATATTTGTCCTGTGGAGTCCCTGATAGTTCTGTGATTTGCTCACGGCCATGGCCATGCCACAGTTCAGAGTGTTGTCCACATGGTATTTGTGGCAATAGAGAAGATCATGATGGAAGAGTTTTTGCCAGAGCCGACAGAGGACTGGAAGGATTTAGCTGGTGAAGGAGGACAGAGTGGTCTACACAGGGACCTGGAAATGTGTGTGAGTAAAGGGGGAGCAATGAGAAAGGGAGCACTTCTAAATTCCACCAGCTCTTGCTGATTGTAGTTCCTTGTTTTAAAATGGTAAGAGGACAGGTTACACTGTTCTTTTAGATTTTTACATAGAACTACCTTTGGAATGCCTTCATAGAAGAGACACAGCGAGAAGTTCCAGGTTGGGGCATCCCTGTAGAGGCAGGAGCAGATGCTCTTCACACAAATGAAATGAAAATGGGACACTCACTGGTTGACCACCTCACTGGAGCTGACTCTGGTCCCATGACCCTCATAATACCATTACAATACCACCAGATGCCTGTGGGAATATAACTGTTTGCATCATTGCTCCATACACACACCACACTATCCTGATCAAATACACACACACAAAAAGTGAAACAAAGACTCAGAAATAATGTAATAATAATAATAATAATAATAATAATAATAATAATACAGATTAAAAATAATATAATAATAATAATCTCTAGCATTAGCACCCTTCAAATGGCTGAGGTCAATCAAACATCTTAGTGTTTACTGTACATTCATAGAGCAGCTTGTGAAAAACTTGCACCTTCCTTCAGTGTCACCCATCTGTCCCTAAAGTAAACATCTGCATGAGCTCCCCATACTGGTAAGTTAGTGTCAGACGTGGATGGTCTTTCTTGTAATAACTTCCGAGTCACCTACAAAATAAAACTGTAACAGAGGATAAGATGAGTTACGTCGTATTTGAGCTCTGGTGTTTTAATCAAATAAGGGATCGATGCGCACTGAGATGCACTATGACTTTAAAGTAGTTCTAAATTTCTGTTGATAAAATTACCTCTAAGTTTGTACTTATGATGAGCATTTCGATCTTGAAATAAATCATTTAAATGAGATGGAAGAGAGTTGATAGAACAGAGTTGCCCTGAACATAATGTGAGCAGTTTAATGTATGTTTTGAAGTTTTTATGAGCTGGCATGAGTATGTGACGAGTGTGTGTGCCAAGATACACCAGCGTCTGTACTTTCTTAGGGGATTAAAGGTGTTTAGAGTCAGCCAAAACATTCTGCTGACCTTCTATGGAGCTAGTGTAGAGTCTGTGCTAAGGTTTGGACTAATCAGCTGGTTTGGAAAGCTGTCAAGTGTAAATGGCAGATCCTGAGACTGGTGAAACAAGCCTATAACATCATTGTCCCACAGACCATCTTCAAACAGCCTGAACCTGACTGTATATTGTCCAGTTTTACTTCTTTTTTTCTTTTGTCTCTTGATATGTTATGTCATGTCAGTAGGTTATCTTAATGCTGCTGACCTCTAACCAGCCTGGCGCCACCGAGTGCCTCCGCTCAGTTTCATTTCTCTCCAGCGACGAGGTCAGGAATCTATGTAGTATAGGCAAGTTTCATTGTTGACAAAAGCCCGCGTTGCATGCTGGGAATTATTTTGGTCAGCTGCAATAAACACTAATTCAACTTGACAGATGGAGCGAGAAAGCACGTAAAGGGTATTGATCCTGGTTATTTATCCACTCTAATGGCAGAGGACCCAAGACCATTTGACCTGAAATTGGTCATAAACATCAATGGAGCCAAATCACCCTTTTCAACCCCGACAAAAGGTGGACCAAACCAAATTTCTGGTCAGAATCACCAACTACCTGGACAAATATTCACTTGGGTGATATCCACAATGACTTGGTGGAAACTCCTGGGCCATTCACAGCAGAAAAGATGAAAACCTCCAAGAGTCTTGATGTGTTGTTGAACTTGTTGGAGTCCACGGTTTGTTAGGATCTTCTACGTTTGCTCTGTGAATGTTTGAAAGTCGTTTCATTCACCGTTAGTGGTTCTTTTCACTCAGAATACGAAAAAGACATTTTCCTTTTTCCGTGCTTCTATTTTTGCATCCGATAATGCAGCAGGAATTTACCATTATCGGGGATAAACACTCGAGGTTACGCACTGTGTTTGATGCTACCGTGTTTCTTGTCTCTGACCAAAATATTTCCCAGCATGCAACACGGGCTTTTAATAACAATGACGTCAGCTGAAACTCGCCTATATGTAGGTTTGTATTAAGATGTCCCTATAGAACACACCACTGTCAGATGTATTCATTGTTCAACTGTCTCTCTCTTACATCCAGAAGACAGCTACACTTTTTTTCAATTTGTGTTTAAATGTTATTACTCTAAGTTCCCACCCTACTTAAGAGTTTTTGATTCCATTTAGATCAGCATATCATTTATGTCACACATTATTTTTTAATGTTCCTATAATAAAAAAAAAGAAATTGGCCGCAGAGCATTTAACTTCAAAGTTTCAAATGAATGGAACAACTTACCATCCTCAATCCGATCAGTTACATCAATCCACCAGTTTAAGGCTTACAAACATCCTGCTCCTGTTTTTGATAAATATATATTTTTGTTCTATGTACTTTCTGTTGTACATCAAGAAATCAGATGTGTGTGACTGCAAACCTCTGTTCAAACTGTTTCTCTTCCCAATGGAATTGAAAAATAGTGAAAGGTGAAGGTGATGGGCAGGATTGATCCACAGGAACGACGAAAAAGGAAACTTTGACTGACTAAATCATCCTGAGTTTGCAGTGAACATTTTGTATGTGGAGCGACATCAAAGCAAAATCCCGATCCCTCGCTCCATCTTGTTTACAAATTTAAAAAGTCAACACCAAAGCAAAAGGCACCAACTGTTCACCAAGAAACACCTTCCACTGTAAAGCGACCAAGACATGATGTTACTGTAAAACCACAAGAACAAGAAAGTGCAGCTCAGTCTGTTTGTCTTCTGCTCCTCTCACTTAACAAACGGGATCTGCTTTGATGGCTCCACATACAAAATATTCTCTGCAAACTCGGGATGATTTAGGCAGTCAAAGTTTACCTTTTTTGTCCTTCCCGTGGATCAATACTGCCCATCGCCTTCACCTTTCACTATTTTTCAATTCCGTTGGGAAGAGAAACAGTTTGAACAGAGGTTTGCAGTCACACACATCTGATTCCCTTTTGCATTTTTGGAGTTCACAAACACATTCCTCGAGTCGTTTTCCGTTGTTAGGATCCAACAACCACACAATTACAATGTCTGAATCCCAAAACTAAAATATGACAATATCAGAACCAGAAACAAAAGCGATATGGTTCAAAAGACTAGAAAATATCGACTTTGTCAATAGACACATCCCACTCAGAAAACAAACATGGAGGTTTGCTCACTTTTTCAGAAAATCCTCATTGCACAATGACCGGACGTCCGAGATTCTTGATGCATGAATTTTATCAAGGGGAAAGATGTTATTGTCCTTCTTCCTGCGAGATTTGGGAAAAGCTGAATATACCAGTTAGCCCCGTTAGCGGCACATTACATACGTCACAACCAAATAGCAGCGACTGGTTAAATGATGAAAAGTACCCGCCTACTGTTGAATGAAAAAATTCTAACGCTGTGAGGTCAGACGGTTTCACTTCATGGAAACTGGCTGATGAATCAGCCTAGCAGACCACTGCTCCGAGCTAAATTTGTCCATAAATAATTGAAAACCTGAATCCTGTTTTTTGATTTTGGTGTTGTAATCCTAAAACAAAAATAGAATGGCCTTCATGGTCACAGACCTAAGACTCAGATCTTGTCATAGTGCAGAAATAAAAAAAGTTCCCACTAGTGCAAAGAAGAAGTCTGCACAATAAATACTTATCCCCAAAACCAACTGTTCCATCTAACATGTATTGTACAATAACTTCAATTTCTGTGTGGAGTTTGCGTGTTCTCCCCGTGTCTGGGTGGTTTCCTGGGCGCTGTACGGCAGCAGGTCTCTGACAGTTTGTCCCAGTGACGCTGAAGGATGGGTCACATGGTATGGGTGACAAGCCAGGCTAAATTACAGTTTAATGCCATACTGTGGAAAGTTCCAGGCAAAGCAATAACATCTCCATGGAGCAGATTCAACACCAGAAATTTTGCATAGTGCACCTTTAATACTGATGGAATATTTTTTTCATTTCAATTACAGAAATGTTAAATTAATTGGATAAATAAATTGTACAGAACATATTTTTCAGTTTGAGTGGTTTTGTGGTTTGTAGAGAAAGAAGGAAGGAGGTGAAGTGTTATAAAAAGAGGAAGAAGAAGTGATTTGTCTTGCAATAGAGGTCAACTTTGTAAGACAGAAACTTTCTGGTTATTCACAACATGTAACTGTCACAGCCTCGTCATGAGAATCAATTTCTTATCTGTGTTGTTCTGGGTAAGTTTACTCTTACATTATATCTTAATTTATTAAATGATATATGTTCATGACAAACACAGTTCTTTTACTATTCTCTCTGAACAGTGCTTTGTTGTGGACGATCACAAACTTTTGAAGTTTTTGAAGTAAAAGAAGGAGAAAACTTTCAAGTCGACTGCACGTTTTATACATCTTTAAAGTGGAATTTTTTCTGTAAAAATGACTGTAGAAAACAAGAAGATATTTTGGTTAGAACTTTGCTTGTCAATCAAGAGAATGGCAGATACAGCATTAGATTAGAAAGACGTTCTATATATTCACATATGATAGTTGTGAGCATCCGAAATGTGACCCTGTCTGACACTGGAACATACAGATGTGGTTTGGCAACATTTAATGGACAAACCTTTGAGGCATTTGTAGATTTCATAATTAATGTCTCAAGTGGTAAGTTTTGCTTTGTGCACATGTGAGCCAATACATTTAACATTTTATTCAAAGTTTTATTGTGAACAGTGGATTTCATAACTGTTTTGTGTCCAGTTGTGAGGTCCAAT